GAAAAGTGCGCAGAAACACCTCAATTACCCAACCTCTTGGACCATTTTCCCACAGAAACAGCTGGGATCCTGTTGATGGCTAGATCATGGCTGCCAAACTATTGGTTATTTTGTTGCTGGAACTGCCAATAACTGCCACCGACTTGTAGTATCTAATTAGTTTTGTTGTCTCATCTTTCCTACTATGGCATTTCGGTCGGTAAACGGTGTCGAACATTGAATTGCGTAGCCTGCGAGCGAAGCCAAGGCCTATCTATTTGCTGATCCGATTGGCAGTGACTTCTGGCTTCACGCTGGATCCTGATGACCCCGATGTACATTTGGCCAGTGCATTTGACGCTGAAGTTTCGTAGTTTGCCCGAAGAACCATATCCCTGCTCTGCTGATCCGTGGTGCTTCCCGAGAAGTTCTCCAGCCTTGATAGCTAGAAATAGTTGTATACCTCTGAAATCTTTGGCAACTTTTTCTGGCATCAAAATCAGAGGAACAGCTGATCAGTTGAGTGCCATCCAGATCATCCAACTTTTTAGGAGTGCAACGCATGCTCGCTGCTTGTCTAGGCCAATATTTTAAAGGCAAGACGCAGCAGTTTTGGTCAACAGTCAACGCCGCACAAGCGAACGGCTGGTTCTAGCTTGATGTAGCAAAGGTGTGACAAAAGTCCGGCTGAATCGAGATACAAACACACATGGATGGACTGATCGGTTGGCGGCTGAGTTCGACCATCTGCTTCTCTCAGGTGGCGTTGGGGCCGCTCTCTTGCTGCGCTCTGGACGTCAAGAGCTGAGATTGATCAGATGGCTATCTCATTAAACAGGCACCTTCCAGAAAAAATCAAGTTTGTACTCTAGAGCTCTTGGTGCCTCTGGAAAACTTGAAGAGACTTTCTTGAGAGTTGATCGTCCTAGGCGGAATGGCACGGGAAGGTGAAAAATGGGAGGCTGGATGCGATCCAATTATAACTATAGTCTTACTTCCCGCTGGCATTGCATCCTACCCGTAGTGTCAAAGGATTTAGTGCAGAGGAATTATGCAATCCTGAAGAGTGTTTTGCTGATGTTTGCGGTATAATCTGCTATTGGGCTGTCGCCATTGCCAGGCCTTGCAAGCCGTAGCCTCAGATGTTTGCTGAGAAATGGGGGGTGGCAGCCATGAATGACACAGTGGCTGCTTAAGACATCTTAAGAAAAGATTTTGCTTTGCATTCAAGGGTCCAAAAAGACCCAAGGGTCCAAACTGGGTCCAGCTGATGAATCTCGCGCAAGCCTCGCTCATGTCCTTTTTCTCGCTCACACCCAAAATCATCCAAGTAAGGATTTGTCAGGACAAACAAATCAGTGACAAAAGGTCTGCTCAATTATGGGGCATGTTACAATTTGAATTCTCTTTTTTGATCTGTCCTGATCACATTTGCCTGCTTAAATGTATGCAAAATGCAAAATTCGTGGCATCGTCATGTTGCTACTCGAGCTTGGATGCTTTCTGCATCACTGGCCGGGCTGCTCAGCTTCAGCTCGGACACGCTCGGATGTTTTTGCTCCGTGCCCTGGACCTGGACCTGGACGGCCTGTCACGGAGAAACCGCCCGGCTTGCGACAACGGGGAGGGCACGGAGCTGGGGAGCCATGGCTGGCCAGGGGTAACACAACGGGAGAAGAAGAACGGGAAAGTGATGCAAAATGAGAAATGTCACTTTTATAGTTTGTAAACTAGAAAAAGTTGCTTTTGTAACATATTGAAATTGTAAAATTATGCATATTTGCTGAATACTTTGATATTTTTTGAAAAGTAATTTCTATCCATATTTTTTGTCCACAACCAATCTTAAAACATTCACTGGTTCATTTTCAAGGTATTGGAATGAAATTTAAAAGTTTTTTTTTCAAAATATTTTTTGTCAAAATATGTTCAAAAAACTAATTTCTATCCTTAAATTATGTCCAAAATCAGGTTTAAAACATTCAGTGGATCATGCTCAAGTTATTGGAATGAAATTTAAAATATGTTTTTTTCGATTTTTTTTTGGTCGAAATTTGGTTCAAAAATGACATTTCTATCAAAAATATGTCGTGTCTAACCTTAAACCCTACATCCGTTAATAATCATAATGCACAATATGCACATAAGCACGCTATTTCCACACAACGGGGTGTTACAACGGGGGAGACACAACGGGAGAAGAACAACGGGGAAAATGATGCAAACTGCGAAATGTCCTTTTGCGAAAAACCGCCATGCCCAAAAATATGTTTTGCGAAAATCTGGTTTCCCCAAGGATGTGTTTGCGAAAATCCTGGATATCCAGGACCGTGGTTTGCGAAAGATCAGGGTCAGATCTTTCTCAAAAGATTTTTTTACCCATGTTTTGCGAAAAACCGCCATGCCCAAAAATATGTTTTGCGAAAATCTGTTTTCCCCAAGGATGTGTTTGCGAAAATCCTGGATATCCAGGACCGTGGTTTGCGAAAGATCAGGGTCAGATCTTTCTCAAAAGATGTTTTTACCCATGTTTTGCGAAAAACCGCCATGCCCAAAAATATGTTTTGCGAAAATCTGGTTTCCCCAAGGATGTATTTGTGAAAATCCTGGATATCCAGGACCGTGGTTTGCGAAAGATCAGGGTCAGATCTTTCTCAAAAGATGTTTTTACCCATGTTTTGCGAAAAACCGCCATGCCCAAAAATATGTTTTGCGAAAATCTGTTTTCCCCAAGGATGTGTTTGCGAAAATCCTGGATATCCAGGACCGTGGTTTGCGAAAGATCAGGGTCAGATCTTTCTCAAAAGATTTGCAATTGTTAAATTATTTGTTGCTACATGTGCGCATATATTGATAAATGAGGAAAACAACGTTTTTTTGCGAAAAGTAGGTTTTCTCAAGCATGCCGGCCACAAGTCAGTCAGATTAATCGCAAAATGGCAGCTGGATAACATCTATGTTGAACCCCTTGTTTGCGAAGAACCAGGGCCTGGTTCTTCTCAAACAGGCTGCTGATACCTGGGGTGTTTTAAGCAAACCAGAGGCTTGCGCAAAGCAGTGCTAGGGAACAAGCAGTTGTTTGAGAAGAACCAGGCCCTGGTTCTTCGCAAACAAGGGGTTCAACATAGATGTTATCCAGCTGCCATTTTGCGATCAATCTGAGCGACTTGTGGCCAGCATTTTTGAGAAAACAAGTTTTTCGCAAAAAAAAGGTGATTTCCTGTCATCATATATAATATAGCGACATCACATATACATACATTATGTATATATTTTAATATGACATACAAACATGGAACATCTTTTGAGAAAGACCTGACCCAGATCTTTCGCATACCAAGGTCCTGATTCCCCAAGATTTTCGCAAACACATTCTTGGGGAAGCAGGATTTTTGCAAAAAAGAATCCTGGACATGTTGTTTTTTCGCAAACTGTTCATGAAAAAAAACTATTCAGAGAGTGAAATTCAAATCCCACATTTCGCAAAAAAAATGTTGTTTTCCTCATTTATCAATATATGCGCACATGTAGCAACAAATAATTTAACAATTGCAAATCTTTTGAGAAAGATCTGACCCTGATCTTTCGCAAACCATGGTCCTGGATATCCAGGATTTTCGCAAACACATCCTTGGGGAAACCAGATTTTATCAAAACATATTTTTGGGCATGGCGGTTTTTCGCAAAACAAGGGTAAAAACATCTTTTGAGAAAGATCTGACCCTGATCTTTCCAAACCACGGTCCTGGATATCCAGGATTTTCGCAAACACATCCTTGGGGAAACCAGATTTTCGCAAAACATATTTTTGGGCATGGCGGTTTTTCGCAAAAGGACATTTCGCAGTTTGCATCATTTTCCCCGTTGTTCTTCTCCTGTTGTGTCTCCCCCGTTGTAACACCCCGTTGTGTGGAAATAGCGTGCTTATGTGCATATTGTGCATTATGATTATTAACGGATGTAGGGTTTAAGGTTAGACACGACATATTTTTGATAGAAATGTCATTTTTGAACCAAATTTCGACCAAAAAAAATCGAAAAAACATATTTTAAATTTCATTCCAGTACCTTGAGCATGATCCACTGAATGTTTTAAACCTGATTTTGGACATAATTTAAGGATAGAAATTAGTTTTTTGAACATATTTTGACAACAAATATTTTGAAAAAAAAACTTTTAAATTTCATTCCAATACCTTGAAAATGAACCAGTGAATGTTTTAAGATTGGTTGTGGACAAAAAATATGGATAGAAATTACTTTTTAAAAAATATCAAAGTATTCAGCAAATATGCATAATTTTACAATTTCAATATGTTACAAAAGCAACTTTTTCTAGTTTACAAACTATAAAAGTGACATTTCTCATTTTGCATCACTTTCCCGTTCTTCTTCTCCCGTTGTGTTACCCCTGGCCAGCCATGGCTCCCCAGCTCCGTGCCCTCCCCGTTGTCGCAAGCCGGGCGGTTTCTCCGTGACAGGCCGTCCAGGTCCAGGTCCAGGGCACGAAGCAAAAACACCCGAGCGTGTCCGAGCTGAAGCTGAGCAGCCCGGCCAGTGATGCAGAAAGCATCCAAGCTCGAGTAGCAACATGACGATGCCACGAATTTTGCATTTTGCATACATTTAAGCAGGCAAATGTGATCAGGACAGATCAAAAAAGAGAATTCAAATTGTAACATGCCCCATAATTGAGCAGACCTTTTGTCACTCATTTGTTTGCCCTGACAAATCCTTAATTGGATGATTTTGGGTGTGAGCGAGAAAAAGGACATGAGCGAGGCTTGCGCGAGATTCATCAGCTGGACCCAGTTTGGACCCTTGGGTCTTTTTGGACCCTTGAATGCAAAGCAAAATCTTCAAGACATGATTTGCTTGAGCATTTTTGGTTGGTAACTCTATCAACCGATTCCACCTTAATTTAGATAAACCATGACAAAAGGATGCTGCCACTGCTTGAAATTCCCTGCAGCATTGAATGTGTGTTGGGTGCACTTGTTGTCGACTGCTTGAAGTGGGAGGCAGAATGGCTGAAGCATGCGCACACGCTCTTAAGGCACGATGCAGCATAGCGTCACGGCGTCACGTCAAGCGCGGTATCATGCGCAGCGTCGATGTCTTGACTCATGGAACAGAGTTGTGTGGGCAACGACAGCTTCACAGAGTTCCCAGGCAGTTTCGATTTACTGTGGATTTACAACAATCGTCTGGGCAAGCGTCACAACAATTTGCACGTGGCAATGCCTGGTCAGCTGCCAATCCTTCCAGGCGGAAGACCTGTCCCATCGAGGTGCGCTATACGCCTACAGCCTTGGGGCCAGCAGCAATCAAGGCGCCTGGCTGCTGGGACTGCGGATGTTTTTGGGCTCCCTTGGTGTCAGTTTGGCCAAGCTTTCAGTTCTGAGATTCTACAGTTTTCTACAGTTGATAACAGGAAAGTAGCGGCTCGCTTGACCTCAAGTTGGTGCAAAAAAAATGCTCTGAGACTTATCCCCGAGGAAGGTAGATGAATCAGATGAAGGTAGTATATGTGGTGATGACTTGCCGCTTGGACCTTGAGGTCACCCTCTACTCTCTGCGGGATGTGCTGTGTGCCGGGAATCCCCAGACCGTGGCGAAGAGTTTCAGCATGTTTCAGCTATTGCTGTTGCCATGGCCCCATGGCCTTCACCAAGGCATTTCCCGTGGGGACGTTGGGCACCTGGGGCCTGGAAGCCGAGACTCCAGAGCTGGCCGCTATGCGGAACTATGCTGGCGGATTTCATTTGTGCCTGAAAAATACTGAAAATGGGTTGCATATGGTTGCATGATGTTGTATGATTGTTGTAACTTGCTGTATGGTCTCCTGCCAAAATGACAATCTTAGCAAGGAATTCTGGAAATTGACGATTAGCACGTGGATTTAATAGTGCCATGTACTGTAGCACCCTATTTTCAGACAAACGAGTTTCGGCCAGACTTTCAGCATGCTTCGCTACCCTTGAGGCGGTGGAGGCACAGGTGGCGAAGCCACTGCCCAGCTGGGCCGCAACGAGAGTTGCAGGCAGAGAGGGTCGAGTTGGAATGGCTACAGAGCAGTTTCAATTTATTGAAACCGATATCATCCGATAGCATGTGATTTCATTGTATCCCGATTTTTGTTTCATCTTGGGACCAGAGGCGGGAAAATGGAACTGGACAGATGCCTTGAAGGCAGTCAAGAGCTGCGCTTCTCAATCTATGCAATCTGCATCAATTTGGCAATCTCCGCGCATTTGAAGCTTCCCGAAGATGAACCATTGAATCACGGAGCCCGTTCTTGAGCACAGAAATCTGAAAAGCAGTGGCTCCCTGGCCAGGCTACGCCCTGCAACTGAGGAGGATACTTTTCGCCTGCGAGCCTGCCACTTAGATTCCCGTGCAAGAAGCTGCGCAGCAATAGGAGAAAACTGTCCGACAGAGTTATTGTAGTTTTTTGATGTTTTTTGATGTTTTTTGCATCAGGTCTCCTCCATGTCAAGTGAGATGTAATCGATGACAACCGCATCATTGCTGAACCTATATTATATAATTATATTATATTATATTTGCCAAGATTTCAAGAGAAGAAACATTACATCAACATACCAGTAGTACCGCACAAGGCGGTGGCGGAAGTTCCAAAAATAGGAAACCTATAGGAGAGATTGGCTGTTGTGAATCAGGGATGGCAGAGCGAATCCACTGATGGACCGAAAGGTGCTTGAGGTCTCCTCTCTTTCTCTCTCTTCCTCTGACTATCTACTTACCTACCAGCCTGTCTTCTATGTATCTATCTATCTATCGATCTATCTATCTCCCTCTTTCTCTCTTTCATCTAATTACCTATCTACCTATCTACCTATCTACCTATCTGCCTACCTACCTATCTATCTATCTATCTTTCTATCTATCTATCTATCTATCTCTCTCTCTCTCTCTCTCTCTCTTTCATCTGTCTATCTGTCTAGCTGTCTACCTGTCTATCTATCTATCTATCTGTCTGTCTGTCTGTCTATCTGTCTATCTGTCTATCTGTCTACCTGTCTACCTGTCTACCTGTCTATCTGTGGTGCAGTGTCATTCAGTGTAATGTAGTGTAGTGTAATGTAGTGTAGTGTAGTGGAGTGTAGTGGCATGTAGTGTAGTGTAGTGTAATGTAATGTAATGTAGTGTCGTGTAATTTCGTGTAGTGGAGTGTAGTGGAGTGTAGTTGTGTAGTCGTAGTTGTAGTGTAGTGGAGTGTAGTGTAGTGTAATGTAGTGAAGTGTAGTGGAAGGTAGTGTAGTGTAATGTAGTGTAGTGTAGTGGAGTGTAGTGTAGTGTAATGTAGAATGTATGGAGTGTAAGTGTAGTGTAGTGTAGTGTAGTGTAATTTAGTGTAGTGGAGTGTAGTGGAGTGTATTGTAGTGGAGTGTAGTTGTGTAGTTGTAGTTGTAGTTGTAGTGTAGTGGAGTGTAGTGTAATGTAGCGAAGTGTAGTGGAAGGTAGTGCAGTGTAGTGTAATTTAGTGTAGTGTAGTGGAGTGTAGTGTAGTGTAATGTAGTGTAGTGTAGTGTAATGTAGTGTACTGTAATTTAGTGTAGTGGAGTGTAGTGGAGTGTAGTGGAGTGTAGTTGTGTAATTGTGTAGATGTAGTTGTATTTGTAGTGTAGTGGAGTGTAGTGTAGTGTAATGTAGTGAAGTGTAGTGGAAGGTAGCGTAGTGTAGTGTAATGTAGTGTAGTGTAGTGGAGTGTAGTTGTGTAGTTGTAGTTGTGTAGTTGTAGTTGTAGTTGTGTAGTTGTAGTTGTAGTTGTAGTTGTAGTTGTAGTTGTAGTGTAGTGGAGTGTAGTGTAATGTAGCGAAGTGTAGTGGAAGGTAGTGCAGTGTAGTGTAATTTAGTGTAGTGTAGTGGAGTGTAGTGAAGTGTAGTGGAGGTGTAGTGTAGTGTAATGTAGTGTAGTGTAGGGTAGCGTAGTGTAGTGTAGTGTAGTTTAGTGTAGTGGAGTGTAGTGGAGTGTAGTGGAGTGTAGTGGAGTGTAGTGGAGTGTAGTTGTGTAGTTGTAGTTGTAGTGTTGTGGAGTGTAGTGTAGTGTAATGTAGTGTAGTGGAGTGTAGTGTAGTATCATGTAGTGTACTGTAGTGAAGCGAAGCGAAGCGACATCTGAACCGCCAAAAGTGGCGCGAACATGTGGTGTTTTGTACATTTTGACTTGGAAATGTGCTTCGCGTCACAACGGCGTGCACTTTTTCGACATCTGAACCTCCAAAAGTGGCGCGAACATGTGGTGTTTTGTACATTTTGACTTGGAAATGTGCTTCGCCACAACGGAGTGCACTTTTTCGACATCTCAACTTCCAAAAGTGGTCCGAAGCTGGTGTGTTTTGCACATTTTGACTTGGAAATGTGCTTCGCACCACAACGGCGTGCACTTTTCGACATCTCAACTTCCAAAAGTGGTCCGACACTGGTGTGTTTTGTACATTTTGACTTCGAACTGTGCTTCGCGCCGCAATAGCGAGCCTACTTTTCGACCCTCCGAAGCCACAAATCATTGGAAAAACGGAGTGTTTCGCGACTTTCCTACCTTTTCGCGCATCTGCATCTTCTTTCTTCTTACTCTTTCTCTTCTACTCTTCTTTCTTCTAATCTTCCTCTTCTCTCTGCCTCTTCTCTGCTCTGCTTTTCATCTGTCCATATTGTCGGAAGTTTGACTTCTGAACTTCCTTCGAATATATACTAATCCATTTTACATCTATGCATCCACCACGAGAAGTATGTGGACATTTGTAGCACAGCGTGATAGTCAGGTCTATCGCCCTGCGCTTTTGCTAGATGTCGTCCTCCATGATGGAGTCCAGGTGCAGCTCTGCTGTTGGGGGCGCCTTTCTTAAGCCTCAATCACTGTTTAGCCCTTCTGAGGGTTGCATTTTTTTCTGAATCAGCAGTGTACTCACATTGAAACAGGTCTCACACATGCGGACCATATGATTGATTCTAGTGGGGTCGACAGACTCAAGGTATTCGCCATCCGGTATCCTGCATGACAAGGTCTGGCCCAAAGCGAGTCCTTATTCGAAATCGAAGTCTTGCAGAGCAAAGAGATGGCTATCAAAGGGATCTGGTGCTCGCTTTTGCTACAGACAGCTTCTGGCCTGGCAGGGTCTTGGAAGCAACTTCCCGCACCTGAAACAGTGTATGCATGGGTGGAGTTGGACTTTGAATGGCCAAACCAAGAAGAGCACCAGGCTGCACTTGAGTCTGGGCGATTTCGTCCAACTCACAATGTTCTCGCAGGACTGAAGGTCTGTGATCCGGAGGTAGCACCAAGATGTACAGAGCAGATGATCTTCGTCACAGTCCCACGGTGGGCCACAGGGGTTCCAGCCACACTGAACCGGGTAGTTCCAGCTTCTGGCGGGCCGAAGTTGCAGCCATGGCCATCCACAGAGGCACAGGATGTGAAGGACTGCAAGAAGATCCAATATGTCCAGTCCATGGAGATCGATCCCAGTGGAGTGATGTGGGTGATTGATGTTGGCAGGAAGTACTTCACGGAGACATCAGATGACAGCTGCCCTCCCAAAATCCTGCTGGTGGACGTACCAACAGGGGAAGTTCTGGACTCCTACGTGTTTCCGGAGGATGTGGCACCTTACAACGGATCTTTTTTGAATGACATTGTACTAGATGTAAAGCATCAGGTGGCTTACATTTCCAGCACAGGCAACACACCGGCCGACAAGGGAGCAATCGTTGTGTACGACAGGCTACACAAAAGGAGCCGACGCATTGAGCACAGCTCCACCCATGCGCATCATGCACAGCTTGTGATCCATGCAACTGACTACAGCGACTTGCTGCAAGGGTTGCCTGTGGATGGTATAGCACTGACACCAGATGGCGAACAGATCTTCTACAGTCCACTGGGCGGTACCGAGTTATATTCCATCAGTGCTGCGCTGGCAAGGAACTTCTCTGTGAATTTGAGTAGTGTCGTGGAGAGTGTGAAAGAGCATGGCAAGAAACCAAGCAACTCGGATGGAATGACTTTTGGCTCGGACGGCTTTCTGTACTTCGGTGGGTTGACCCTCGACAGCCTGTTCAGATGGAAGCCAGGCACAGCACTGGCAAAGTGTGAGCGTTTAGCTGTTGACCATGAGAAGCTATGGTGGATCGACACCTTTGCTTGGGACAATCGTGGAAACCTTTGGATGACCAGCAATCGCCTTAACAGTTGGTTTTTCCGAGATGTTGTGCCTCCAGCCATGGACTTCACAGGAAGCTCTGGATCCAACTTCCGGATTCTAAAGCTGGCAGTCGGTAGCAATTCCTATATGTACAGCCAAGGTGTTTGAGATTTCGGGCAATCTTTTGCGCGCATCAAAGATGCCACCTTGAATTGAACCAAAGCGCTCAAGAGAATCAACATGACTGCAGCAACAGATAGAATATGATAGAATCCTCATGCAAAGATGTACAGTTCAGGATGAAATTTTGCGGCCAACATCATTTCCGCAGGCCCAGTGATAAAACACAACGTGTCTGATCACCATGCAGATTCCACATCCATGGTCCATAGCAGTCTGAAACCGAAGCTGTTCAGAGATTCCAATACGACAAATTTATATATGATCATTTGGTCATTTGACAATGTATTGCTGATCATCTAGACAGATTTCCAGGTTGAGAGAGGCGATCGGCTGGTGGTGACAGTCTCGGAGGGCGAGGCCTGGGAAGTGAAGTGGAGATCTTCCATTTTACTGGGTGGAAACAGGTTCAAACATGTTAAACTCATTTAAAGCCATGGTTTTTTGTATGTTTTCATTGTTTTCCTTGATTAAACCATGTTGAACCACCATGTCTGTGGGTAAGACTATGGTGAAAATCAGCCAACTTTTTTGGTGAAATCCTGAGTGAACTGGACACATTTTTTAAGAGCGATCGATGCTTGCGCGCTATGTTGGAAGTCACGGAATTGTCAAATTTCAAAGTGAACCCAGAAACATGAAGAACAGCAATAGTTATCCCCTGTAGCTTGTGGTCGTCCGAGTCATCTTCTTCCGCTTCAGAATCATCATGCGTCAAAATATCAACTTCAGCAGGTCCTGGAAGTCTGATTTTCTGCAGTTCGTTTTCCTGGCGCATGTCATTGCAGTGTAGGCCAAAGTATACAACGAGAAGCCACGCCGAAGGTGCAGCTGCATTATGAAGGGCTTGAGAAGAAACATGGACAAATCAAGCATACTCTGGAAACTTCATGCAGGCAGCCAGTTGTGGATGATGATGCCGAGGCTCTGCACACAAACCTGACAGCTATTCTGCAAGAAACTAGTCAGCCTCCAACCAGAACTTCTATTACGGTTGAGATGCATTGCATTCCCCCGATATTGCCCTGGTTAAGTTGATTGACAGCCAACCTTTTTGCTGTGAGAAATATCTACGAATATCTCACGTTTGCTGAGTTGGTCCAAAAGCATTCCATAGTCCATAGCCATATTCTGCGGACACATCCTTTGGTTGTCCGCAGCCGCAGTTTGACCTCTGCAGTCCTGACGGCATCTGTATGCTTTTTAGATCTTTTTAGGCTCTTGTGCCTTCTTTCCTGTTGAAATCCTTTGAACGTCAGCTCACCTGTCCCTCTGCATCGTGTGCAGCTGCCTTGCCTCTTCCTAGTTGCATGTGTTGGTTTCCTCTCGTTTGATCTCCGCCTTTGTATGCTTTGGTGGTCTTCGCGTTCGTCTGTGCCGGTTGAGTAGCGTCGCAGGGGCTTCTTCTTCCAAGCTTTAACTCGCGCGGATGTGGTTGACTCCAATTTAGGGACGAGAGGCACCGTGTTTGCAGGCTTCAAGCCAGCATCCGCAGAACGACAAGTCTACAGCCTGGCGGTGGGAACTGTGTATGGAGAGTACTCATCTGAAATGACAGGAAAACCTGTTGACAGGCATCCCAGTGACAAAGATCACATTGAGTTTGAAAGAAGCTGCCGTCCCCAGAGAATTGGTACTGCAGCGGCAGCGACATTTCATATTGGCAATAAATTGGTATCAACTGCCAGCTCCTGACCCTCTACACATCGACGTTTTTAGAAATCATCATTTGTTTGCAAATTTAGATTCCGTGCGTCAACAATGTTCCACGTGCTTCGACTCAGGTCGACAGCGGGATATGTGCCAACTGAGAGCGTAGATTCAGTTCCTGGAAAAATCCGATGAGTATTGATCAGCTGCCAACCAACATAAAAAATGATCACAATTCAAGGCCACTCTCTCTCCAGTTTGACAGATCAATCCTTGTGCTGGTGCTTGTGACGCATAGACTCTTGAACATTTCCGGCTCGGCTGACCCAAGACCACCGATATGTTGGCTTGATGCACCAGTCACCAACAATTTACAAGAGATGAAACTGATGAAACCTCTCTGATTGGGTCCTGAGAGCCTTTAACCATCTTTAACCAGTCCACCTTTGAGCCGCCTGATTTGGACAGAGTTGGATCGGAATTGACATTGCCATTTCGGACATTTCTTGAGCGTCTACGATCTGCCCAGATCAAATGCTTTTGACAAGCTTCCAAGCCTCGATTCTCGTGACATCTCGTGACTAACCGGTGTGTCCGGTGCGCGTCCGCAGAAAAAATGGGATGTTTGTGGATGGTTTTGTGATGTGGTGCAAGCCCGATCAGATCTCCAGAAAACTGCCAGGTGCAGGGCAGCTTTACATGCAGCGCAACGAAAAAACAGTGCCCCGTCCAGTAGGAGGGCCAGGGAATAGCTGGGGCACAGTATTTCCTGGCAGATTAGATGTTGGTTTCCGTATACATGTTTGCATTGCTTCTATTCTAGATCTTCTAATGTCAGCAATCTATATACATGTTTACAAAGGGCCAGGGGAAAGATTGGAAATGCACCATGTGAAAGCCAGAGACCCTGGTTTTCACACACCAAGGTCCGACAAATTTCTAGCACACGCTCTGAGAGATTGCAGTAGATGAGGGTAGAGCTACATTTTGACTTGGAAAGAACACAATCGGGACATGATGAGGATGCCATGCTCTTTTGAGGGATGCACGACTTTCAAATGCAACAGCACGGAGGAACAACCTCCCTTTGACCCTGCGTTGAAGCATGTCGCCCCACATTTGTGCTTGTCGTGTTACCTTGGTGCCTTAGCCAAGGCCTCTCTTGGGAGCAACTTGAGCAACTTGGCAGCAAGGTTGGTCTTGCGGTGTGTTGGTTGTGGTGGTGGTGAGTTTGCTGCCGCGGCAGCACTGCTACCGCCTCTGGTGGTTGCAGTGGTTGCCTTCATGTCCGTCATTTTGACATAAAGACTGCCATTCGTTCCACTGTGATCCTGGACGGTTGGTGCAACAAGAAATGCAAGAATTTGTGCTCACCTTTGAGGTCTCGTTTTGACTTGGGAGAGGCATGCCAGCATCACTTGGGAGTAGACATCTTCAAACATGGTCGTGGTGTGATGTCAACAATCTTGGGAGTGGCATTACGCCAGGACCAGCATACTGAGCTGCCAGAGATGGAGGCGGCCTTTCCAACGAACTGCCCGGCAGTGGATGGTTTCTGCCAAGGGTTGTTGGATTTGATGTGGTACACCGGTACACCCAATAAACCTACCACTGGGAGATAACTTTTACCACCCATTTATGGTTATAGTATTGGGAAAGTTTACTGTTGGGTTTACCACATTATTCTTATTTTCTCATGCCGGCTTCGGGATTTGCAGTTTGACCACAAGTGAGAAGGACCTGGACTTAAATAGTTGCAGATTGTCCAAGACTGCAAGCGAAGACTGTGCCATGCATTTGCAGGTACTTAATGTAGCGTCACAAATCATTTGAAACATTAGAAGCTGGATCATTCTTACATTCTTATTTCTTATTCTTATCATCATCATAATACAATGATAATTGCTATTATTAGTACCATCATTGGAACTTGACTTTACTTGAACTTTCCAGCCATGTCGATTCGCAGTGAAACGGTGGCGTGGAGCTTGTTTGAAGATGAGAGTGCCCTTCCAGCTGACAGAGACCGTTGGCAATTGAAAGAGGCTTCTCGGTCGCAGGGAGCATTTATTTTGTAGCCCCCAATGAAATAGAGTGCACAAGCTAATTGACGCCAGTAGGCAACGATGGCTTGGCAAAATTCATGGGGCCTTTCAATTCCTACAAGGATTTTTGGTCACTTTCGTTCACATTTATTTCCCAGGGATATTGTTTCGATTGCAAGGACGACAGCCAGTGCATTTTCATGACTTTGGAAAGCACGCTGTTGTCAAGCATCCTGCTTACCGCAGCTGAAATGCTGGGGTTGCTCCGCTTGCAGCTGCCTGCAGTGTGCAGGCTTTTCCGGTGCCCTGGCTTTCCATTGGTGGATGCAATTCTTTGGAGATTTGGCTTTTCTGTGAGGATAACAACTCATTTACGATGAAATCTAGGAGTCTATGACCCAGTGTAGGACATCTACTGTATGTAGTTCCTTTTCATCATATGCAACCAGAAGATAGAGGAACTGCTTAGTTTTTTGCTGTTCCAAGCAATTCCTGTTGACTGAACACTACTTGTAAAGACTAAAGCAAAAAGGTGGGGATAGGTGGCCAGCAGTTCAACACCTAGGTATGTGACTTCAGAAGAACCCTTGTGCTGGCGGCAGCTCACCCTTACCCCTTCACATGCTTCACATCTTGCATGCGCAGTGGTGACTGACGAGCTGGTCTGTCGTTTAGCCAGACTTCATGGACCAAAGTTGTTGCATGTTGCCTTGGACGGGGCACGTTTGCTGGGCCCATCCTCTGTCTCTACATTGGCATACAACAGCCCTCAACTGCAGGGTTTCACTGCCACAGGATGCCAGGGTATAAGCTTCGCATCCATCTGTTTCCTTTGCAAATCGTGCCCTGACCTCGAGATTCTGCGAGTTGCAGGATGTGGTTCTGAGGCTTGGCGAGATAGGTACTGATAGTACAACATCCTGAGTAGTTTCGCGGATGATGAGTATGAGAGAATCATCGAACCTTCCCTCAGTAGTGGTGTCAGCTGAAAATCCGTAAGCCTGGGTCCGGCTCAAGAAGATTTGGACGGGATTTTATTTGGTTGTCTTCCAGCCTTCCCGCAGGCAGATGTGCTTGGCAAGACTGGTGCAGACATGTTAGCGCAGACTCTGGCACAGAAATGTCCTCGCCTGCGGCAAGTGGCGCTTTCAAATTTGAGGCAGCTGTGAAGAAGTTAACTTGCACAGGATGTTTTTGGCCCTATTTTTCTCCGAACAAGACTGTTTGCCTTTTCCCCAACTAGACTTTGCGCCCTCATGCCTTGTGCTTTCCCTGGAATGTTTTTTTATCTTGAGGCAAGAAGACAGTCTCACAGCATTGCTGAAATCCGCTCAACTGGAGAAGCTGGACCTCTTTGACTGTCAGCAGCTCTCATGCAGCAATGGTGCTTTTGCAGCACTTGAAGGGCAGCAATTGCAGTCACTGAAGTTGCTTGTTTGAACTTGATTCGAGAGACGAAATGAGACCAAACAGGGTGGTGTTCGAACGTGTTGCTTCCTACTTGTGCTCTTGTGCTGGCAGCAGATGGAAGCAAGCGGCAAGGGGATTGGTGTGCCTGTGTGGTCTCAAGATTTTTGAAGGATGTCAAAACTGCAACTGAAAATGTTGATTTGCCAGACTTACTTGGAATAGTTTGCTTGCAGGATGTCACAAATCTACGAAGAATTTATTCCGGTCTCCTGTGATGTTTGTGTGGATGTTTGCATAGTTGCTTTGTCATTGCTTTGTCTAGTTTTCATGATTTCACCCCAAGGTTAGCTGGATGCACAAAGATGACTTCTCTGGCAGGAAACTTGAGAGGACTGGAAGCACTATATCTGGGAGGTTGCGGACGACTCATGGACACTGAATCCTTGGGTTCCGCTTTGAAGTCGTGCAATGAAAGCCTTACATTTTTGAGTTTGGTGGACTGCCACAGCCTATCAACAAACGGTTTGAAGTCAGCCTTTGAAAAAAGTGGAAGACTGGAAAATCTCAAGACCTTAGTTCTGGGTGGTTGTAGGGTTGATGATGAGCTTTGCCAGCTCTTGGCCAACATTTGTCCGTCTTTGACCTCCCTGGATTTGTGGAACTGTCCCCACGTGACCAACATTGGAGTATCATCGATCATTCAATCTGAAGCTCCACTGTCAGAGCTAAACCTTCGCGAATGTTTGAGGGTTCAAGGAGCAGTGCTGCTCGAATTCTGCAAGTCGGCATCCTCAATTCCTCGAAAAGTGCGAACTTTAGATATCTCTTTCCTTGGAGTTGTAAATGATGAACACCTCTTGCCAGTTCTCCAAGAGCATGCGGATAGCCTTGCGTGCTTAAATTGTGGAGGTCCCAGGTGTTTCATCACGGAGAGGCTCCTATCATTCTTGCCTCCAAATTTGGAGGCTTTGGACCTGGCAGATTGTAAACTTCTGCGAGACATTGACGAAGTTTCGAAACTTCACCATCTTTCTGCACTAAGTTTGGAAGGCTGTGTGGCTCCCATGGCTCAGGTTTTGGAGATTTGCCGCCGTTGTCCTTTGACGTCTTTGAATTTGTCACGCTGTGCAGTTGCAGATGAAACTGCCAAAGAGATTGCGTCGATATTGCCGAAGCTCTTGGAATTGGAACTCAGTGGAAGCCTGGTGAGTGATGTCGGCCTAAAAGCCATTGCTGGTCAGTGCCGTCGCTTGGTGCAACTGGGGCTCCGAAGCTGTGCCATCAGTCGAGCTGCAGTGGAGGAGACCAAGAAAGTGTTGCCCGCATGTGTCATTGACTGGGATGAAACCTGAGCCAAAGGATGAAAAGAGGGCCCTCGAGTTGTGGCTTTGGGCCCTGAAAGAAACGACAAGTGAAGGCCTCTCAGAGGCAGAATCATGAAGATCTATGAAGTAGTTTGACCATTTGTGATCCGGGCCGGCACGGATGGCGGGCCAAGCCCAGCATTTGTGTGTTGTTTGGTAAACCAACCTCCTTCATTTGTCCAGTTTATTGACCATATTGGAACCGTCCAGCATTTGACGGGGAGTCAACCCCCCAGCCTTCAGCGGGGAGGCGTTGGCAACAGAGGAGGCTGGTCAGTGTCAGGGCAGATCAAGACCTGACAAAGCTTCACCATGCCGGGAATTGAAAGATAGGAGAACACTGAAAAATCAGGCTCTTATGCAACCACTTGCGATACAGGCAGAGTGGCTGCCCAAAAAGCCCCAAAATTTGATAGTGTTGGTGAACTGAGACAGGCAGCCTGCCAGACAGAGGGTCAGACCGCTCATGCGGAGGCACGCTGTTTAGAATTCAGTGACCTCCATGATGCCAAGGCACTTTGCAGGTCAGGCCAAGTCCGAGATTTCCACTAAGTGGGCTTCATTATCTCCAATATCTCCATTTATATCCATTTATCAAGTACCATGAAGATCCATGAAGTACCCAGGTGCAAAGCTCTGTGCTCACAGCAACCGCAGAGGTGCAGGCCTGACACCCAGTTCCAACTCCAAGTGGCCTGCTGACACCCAGTTCGTTCAACGGGTGATTGATGTTTATATAGTATGAATTCCAATGATTCATAACTCATAACTGTATGGTTTAGTAGACACTATATCAAAGTACATTAAACATAAATAAATAAATAAATATGTATATATATATAAATTATAAATGGGCTAACGCCCTGGTGCCGCCGACCCCCTTTCAGGGGTGGAGGAAGGAAAGCACATGACCTTGACGGGGGTTCTAACCATCAATGGGAGTTGATGGCATTGGGTTGACCACATTGTAGCAATCCCCCAAGAGATATAATAGCGACATCTTAAAATATTGATTGGATTATGATTATGATACATTGTCAGACATTCTCCGTTGTTTGCAGGCTATAATGTTTTGCGACGTAAAAAAATACTTTACTTCGTGTGATCCCCACCATGACTTATAGATTTTCTTACTGGCAAATATTCTGGCATTCTATCTGATATATCTTCTGGCATTCTATCTGGCATTCTATCTGGCATATCTTCTGGCATATCTTCTGGCATTCTATCTGGCAAATCTTCTGGCATTCTATCTGGCATACCTTCTGGCATTCTATCTGGCATTCTATCTGGCATATATTCTGACATATCTTCTGGCATTCTATCTGGCATTCTATCTGACATATCTTCTGGCATATGTTCTGACATATCTTCTGGCATTCTATCTGGCATTCTATCTGGCATATCTTCCGTCATTCTATTTGGCCGTTGAGGTCCAGCGGTGCACACTGAGCTGGGCAGGTCCCAGGTTGAGGTCCAGCGGTGCACACCGGGCTGGGCAGGTCCCAGGTTGAGGTCCAGCGGTGCACACTGAGCTGGGACGGTCCCAGGTTGAGGTTCAGCGGTGCACACTGAGCTGGGAAGTTGGCAAAGAGCTTGGCGAAGAGACTTGGCAAAGAGCTTGGCGAAGAGTTGGAAAGGCGGAAGTGCAGGTGGAAGTTGATGCAGACATGGTCGAGGAGAAACTGGAGGAGGAGGAGGCGAGGAGGAGGACGAGGAGGAAGAGGACAGCTAGTCGAGGAGGAGGAGGAGGACGAGGAGGAGGAGGATGAGGCGGAGGAAGAGCGCTCTGATAAAATCTAACTACCGTCACCTGGCAGGTGGGCAAAAATATATAGTGGAATTAAATGTGATGTTTCCATCACAACTGTTCCTCGATCTGCGAGGTGGTCCGAGCCCGCCATGTGAATAGCAACACAACTGGAACCGTAAAGTCCATTTCATTTGGGGGGTAGACTAGACAAAAAACAATATATATATATATATCAAAATATAGATGCTCAGGATTCAAAGATTGATTGGCCAGTTCTTTTGCCGGTTGCTTCTGACCCCAGAAGCATGGAGCATAGATTCAAAGAAAAGATACAACCTTGCCTTCTTGCGACTGGACTCCTTGTAGGACAAACAAATATACACGTGCCATGTAGCAGTTTCGAAGCCCAATAGAAACAGTTTGAAGGGCTTATGGGGAGGTACGATGGCAAAGCAGAGGGTTGTGCGGTGCTGAGGCTTTCGAAAGCTGCTGCGGGACTTTTGAAGGTTTTAAGGCCTGGCCAAAACGTGCCATGTAGCAGTTTCGAAGCCCAATAGAAACAGTTTGTAGGGCCTATGGGGAGGTACGATGGCAAAGCAAGCGGAGGGTTGTGCGGTGCTGAGGCTTCCCAAAAGAAGGCCTGGCCAAAACGTGCCATGTAGCAGTTTCGAAGCTCAATAGAAACAGTTTGTAGGGCCTATGGGGAGGTACGATGGCAAAGCAAGCGGAGGGTTGTTGTGCGGCGCTGAGGCTTTCGAAAGCTGCTGCGGGACTTTTGAAGGTTTTACGGCCTGGCCAAAACGTGCCATGTAGCAGTTTCGAAGCCCAATAGAAACAGTTTGTAGGGCCTATGGGGAGGTACGATGGCAAAGCAAGCGGAGGGTTGTGCGGTGCTGAGGCTTTCGAAAGCTGCTGCGGGACTTTTGAAGGTGTTAAGGCCTAGCCAAAACGTGCCATGTAGCAGTTTCGAAGCCCAATAGAAACAGTTTGAAGGGCTTATGGAGAGGTACGATGGCAAAGCAAGCGGAGGGTTGTGCGGTGCTGAGGCTTTCGAAAGCTGCTGCGGGACTTTTGAAGGTTTTAAGGCCTGGCCAAAACGTGCCATGTAGCAGTTTCGAAGCCCAATAGAAACAGTTTGTAGGGCCTATGGGGGGGTACGATGGCAAAGCAAGCGGAGGGTTGTGCGGTGCTGAGGCTTTCGAAAGCTGCTGCGGGACTTTTGAAGGTTTTAAGGCCTGGCCAAAACGTGCCATGTAGCAGTTCGAAGCCAATAGACAGTTTGTAGGGCTATGGGGAGGTAGATGGCAAGCAAGCGAGGGTTTGTGCGGTGGCTGAGGCTTCTAAAGTTTGCTGCGGTACTTTTGATGTTTTAGGCCTGGCCAAAACGTGCCATGTAGCAGTTTCGAAGCCCAATAAACAGTTTGAAGGGCCTATGGGATGACGATGGCAAAGCAGAGGGTTTGTGGCGGTGCTGGAGGCTTTTCGAAAGCTGCTGCGGTACTTTTGACGTTTTAAGCCTGGCCAAAACGTGCCATGTAGCAGTTTCGAAGCCCAATAGAAACAGTTTGTAGGGCCTATGGGGAGGTACGATGGCAAAGCAAGCGGAGGGTTGTGCGGTGCTGAGGCTTCCCAAAAGAAGGCCTGGCCAAAACGTGCCATGTAGCAGTTTCGAAGCTCAATAGAAACAGTTTGTAGGGCCTATGGGGAGGTACGATGGCAAAGCAAGCGGAGGGTTGTTGTGCGGCGCTGAGGCTTTCGAAAGCTGCTGCGGGACTTTTGAAGGTTTTACGGCCTGGCCAAAACGTGCCATGTAGCAGTTTCGAAGCCCAATAGAAACAGTTTGTAGGGCCTATGGGGAGGTACGATGGCAAAGCAAGCGGAGGGTTGTGCGGTGCTGAGGCTTTCGAAAGCTGCTGACTTTTGAAGGTTTTAAGGCCTGGCCAAAACGTGCCATGTAGCAGTTTCGAAGCCCAATAGAAACAGTTTTACGCATAACAAAACAAGAGCACATAGAAACCATCAACTTCATGGGTGTCCCCGGTGTCCCCAATTTCAAAAAATGCCCGAAATTCCCATTTCAATCCATCTCAGTTTCTATTATACGAGGGGATCCGCACGCTGTGGGAAACTGTTAACAAAATCAAGACTTCAGAACTACAAACCATTCCAAAAAACCATCTGCAGCACACCTGCGATGTCAGGAAAGGATCTGGGAAGTAGTAGCCGCCTCGGAGCGTTAACCCTGTCCATGGGCCCAAATCCACCATGATTAACATGATTGCTTGGGGGTGTTTAATATTCGTCCAATGGCCATTTCGGGTATCTATATAAACTTGAGGTACTGTACATATCTGGAAGCTTTCGCAGCAAATTCCCATGAAACGTAGCCTCCAGAATTTCACACGGGGAAACATGGCCCATTTATAGTTGATTCATAGTTGAAACATGGTTACAACTGTGGTAAACTAACAGTTTGCTATGGAAAATTGCCCATAGAAATAGATGGTTTTCCCAGTTTTCCCATTAAACATGATGATTCTTCATAGCTATAGCTATATATATATATATATATTATATATATATGTAAACGTTTACCAAAGGGTTTATCACAGAGTTTTCTCTGTCTGTAAAATGGGGCATCCCAAAACCAAACCGGTACCGCTGATTTTTAAGCATCATATTACCCATTACCCGGCCTGGTAAACATACAAAAAGCTATTGAAAATTGCCATAGACATAGTGAGTTTTCCCATTAAACATAGTAATTGTCCATAGTTTTTTGTATGTTTACCAGGGGGTAAATCCCACCAAGTGAAAGGCCCATTTTCAGACAGACCTTTTACACACTTTGTTGTTGAACTTGGGCAAGAAACAAGAAACGGTGGAATTCTTCACAAACCAAGGTGAGATTACACCTGGGCATGATGATGTAAGCAACAAACAAACTCACGGGTATCAATGGATATATGACTATGTTTCTTGTTTGGTACAAGTTTATATCATGAAATGATATCATATCGTATCCCCTTTTGGCAGTTTGACTTAACTATCAAAAATTGCCTAATTATAGTTGATTTACCTATTAAATGGTGTTTGTAGCTATGTTAAACTATCAGATGGTAGTTCATACTGATTGCAATATCGTTGAATTGGGCATTGCATTGAATAAAAACATGCAGACTTCCCAACCAAACATCCAAACAGTTTGACCTCTTCATTGATCCCGATCGCCATCGCTGAACGGCCAAAATCTGGAGATCTCAAAAAAAAAACATCCGTATCATCCAAAAAAAACAACAAATATCAAATTATAATTGGTTTTCTATGTGTAGATACCTGGGTTTTTCTATGTTCCAAAACCCCCATGGGTTTTTCCGATGGTCAAAACCCCATATTTTTTTTTTCGGATCCCATCAGATCAATGGCCATGCAACAGGATCCGATTGATTGGAGGTACCGATTCCATATATAAGGCCTATACAAGGCCTATGTAAGGGAATACCCCCACAAAATATGGCCAAAAATATGGTACAGTACCTCCGTTTTAGGATCCTGAAGATCTCCCATTGATCAAATACCGATGTCCTGAAAGGTGGATCCAAGCTACCGATGTCCTGGCAGTGGACAGTGGAGCCAGATCGAAAAAATCATGGTGCAAAAAGCTCCAGTGGTATCTGGTTGGTGGTGCAATAACCATGGTTAATAGTGATTAATAGTGGTTTATAGTGGTTATTAGTGATTAATACCTGATCTAATGAATAATATATCTAGTTGGTGGTGCAAGAACCATCTTGAAAAATATGAGTTCGTCACTGGGAAGGATGACAACCCATATATCATGGAAAATAAAAAATGTTCCAAACCACCAACGAGGTATATGATTGCTAGCAACAAAATTTAATTGTTAGCTACAAAAATATCTAGTTGTTTATTGCTAATGATAGCTAATTCTGAGAAGCATTCTTCGCAGCAATTTGCTACATCTGAATCATGAATTATAGTTACATGATGTTCTATGAACTATAGTTATCAACACGGTAATTCTGGGCTAGAGGATCAAAACAAAAAGGAGATAAAAAAACAAAACCAAAAGATCAAAAAAACAAATAGAGATCAAAAAACAAAAATGTAAAGAGAAAGTAAGAGATCCTTTTCGCCGAGGAGATCAAAAAAAAACACATATAGTCATATAGGGATCAAAAAAAATGAAGCAGTCTGCGAGAGGACGAAGCAGAGAAAGACAGGCCTTTGGAGAGACAAGCGACCTAGGATGAGGAAGGCAGCGTGCATGTGCTCGCAGGTTGCATGCAAACAGAACTCGTTGCAAAACGCGCAGAAGCCGTGTGTGTGCTGTTTTGCCTCCGCTCCAGCGGGCCCTCGCTGCCAGAATTGGGACGCAAATGGGCCGATAGCAACAAGGACGTCGGAATCCAACAGCTTCAGCAACTTTTCCAGATCCAAGAGTGGCTGCGCCAAGCCAAGGCTGATCAAAGCACGGACTATAGGGTAGCCTCAGAATTGGCCCGGACAAGGTTTGCAAAAGCCTGCGCGAAGCCAGAAGATGGACATGGCACAGTATTGTCGGAAGTCTTCGTCCAACTCTTGGACGCATGGTCGTAAGTGGCCAAGGTGCGGCGCATGCAAGGAAATGAAGTCCCATCTTTCTCATCAAACCGATCCCATGCCTGTGTTCGAAAGAATTGATCAGTGGACGACCCCTTGCCGTGTCAAGGCATCTGAATCCCACAAGACCGTTTTATCGGGAAAAGGCTCTGGCGGCATGTCTGGAAGACATGACCCTTGACCGCGCAAATCCATGAGCTACGATTTCGTGAAATTGGCCAAGCTTTGGGCAAAGGCAGACAAGTTAGTGCGAAGGCCCATGTGTTTCTTCATGCAGCTTCCAGCGGTGCCAGGATTCTTGGGCTTGTGTGCCGGAGGCGGAGCCCGGCTGCAGCCGTTGCAAGCCACACCACCAGTCTGCAGTGTAGAACGAATTTGTGTCACCTGACCAATCCTGGGCCTTAAAGGTTTCCTGCGCTTGCCGGCGGTCGTGTTTGACCAGATAATGCCGCTGCAATGCTTTGGCTGCTTTCTCTTCCGGGGGCTGCTGGGATACAAGAACTTGAAGGAGCAGTGTAGCAATCGAATGGAAAAGCATTGCTGTGGGGACAGAGCGCAAGCAAAAGAAGGCACGTTTGACTAGGGGTACGAGTTTCTGGCCTGCCCGGGACAAATTGTTTTGCACTGTGGCAAAGGCACCGGATCGGAAGATTCTGACCCGTTCATCAGCATCCACTGAAGCAGCTTTTGGACGATTGCACGCACCACAATGACATGGGCCCAGTCGGTGACACGACTTGCATTGACGAACACAAACCTTTGAGCAAGGTCTTCCCCAGGATGCATGTCAGCATGGTATTGTTGACAACAAGACCGCAAGTCCACACCAGCAAACTTTTGGGCACAAGCACATAAGGCATCGAACAAGACCTGGTAAGTTACTTGGCTTTCTTTGTTTGCAAGGGCGAAAATCAGAGGGTGAAAGTTGGTGCGAAATGCGTACACGCCCTCGGATTCAGAATAATGTTTCGACAGGACCCCTACACTCTTGAAAACCCAGTCTTCTTGAGTGAGCCTAAAAGTCCCATCTCCGCACAATTTGATGTAGGCCTTGTTAGTCAAGCTGTGCAACGTCTCTTCGAGCAACATGGGGTTGCAAAAGACAATGACCGACTGCTCTCGTTCCAGCAAAAGAGGCCTCCCATTTTGAGCTCGTTGACAGTACTTTCCAAATCCAGCGCAAGGCCCAGGTCTCGCTCCAACTGCCGCCAATCTGCCTCCACCCACTTGAACGAACTTGCGCGGCTGCTGGCGGAGCCCTTGTGAACACGATGGTTGTGACCCCATGTGCGGAGAAATGCATCCATCGGGTGGTCTGCACGCTGATGTTTCTCAACGATTTTCACGAGGTCCTGGGTCGTGAAATGCGCATTGGCTTGGACGAACTGCTTCAAAGCATGTTCAATCCCCATTTGGGCATCCAAGTAAGCAGGCTACCTGGTTTTTAGCCCCCAGTTGGGGCTAAAATCCTTCAATAAAAATGGTGTATGAGGTACAAACGCAACCAATGAAAACCTTTGCTTGACGTTCCTGGTATCCCAGAGTAGCGCTCATGAAACTCAGGCCCCAGGTTTTCATCCTAGAACTTCAACACTTCATTTTCATGAAACTCAGGCCCCTGGTTTTCATCCTGTGCAAGCACTTCACTATTTCATTTCCATGAAACTCAGGCCCCTGGATTTCATCCTGTGCAAGAATGTCACCATTTAACTTTCATGAATCTCAGGCCCCAGGTTTTCATCCTGTGCAAGAATGTCACCATTTAATTTTCATGAACCTCAGTCTCATGTTTTCAGCCCGTGCATGCACTTCACCGGTTACTTTTCATGAATCTCAGGCCCAGGTTTTCAGCCCTGTGAGTATTTTCTACCTTCATTCTCTCCTATTCCTTAACACCTAGGATTTTATCCCTTTCCACGGTTTCATGTTTCAAAGTTGTCAAATTCATGCGCGGCAGCCATACCTCAAAAGAATTGCGTCTGTTTGCGCTTGGGGCTAGGATCGCGAAATCAAACCCGAGATAACAACCGGGTTGCGTGTACAAAACGCGCGCTACGCAATGAAAACGTATGTATCACTTATTTATAGACCTAGACAGTTCATTATAAAAAAACAGAGCTTGAAACCTGCCACATGAGACCTCACAAGGCTTTCATCCGTGTTTTTCTCCCGCAGCGGATGAGCGTCCCGCATACCTGAGTATGCCACGCACTAGGCATCCAGTTCATGGACTTTGTGCAAGACCACCCTTGGCGTATTTCCCACAAATCACCACGCCAATCACCGTGCGACCACACAGACAGGTGCGCATGGGAACGCGCGCATGACAGTGTCCACACATGGTACTTTCTGCTCCACTTTATCTCTTCTGCCTTTTGGTAGCAACTCAACATGCTGCAGTTCCCTGGTGGTGGCTGACAGCTTGCGCCGCCACACAAACATGGAGATGGCTTGGCCTGGTACCTAACCTAATGGTAATCTCGTCTCCTGGTTTGATCGGAGACACCACCTTGGATCCCGGCATAAGCATCATAAGCTGTGGCAAGGTCCATTCAAATCATCCAATTTACCAATATAAATATAAACAAAAAATAAACAAAAACTAAAGGATCTAAAGGTTTCCTGATCAAATTCAACAACCATGTGGCTCTCAAACGCTCACCATCCAGCTCCGCATTAGGCGTGCAGCTATGGCTCAGGAACCCATTGGCACCGAAGAATCCGAAGACGGCACCCGGGTCCAAGGACTCATGGGAAATCAGGCCTTGGCCTTTCTTCCCACAGTCCAGCACGACAAACGGTTTGGAAAACATGTTGGGCCACAACAAAATGGCTTACGGTCCGGCCGCAAAGTTGAAACAGCAAGATATGGGGAATGAAAAGCCTGTAATGAGGTCAAGTTAAAACAGCAAGATCTGGAGAATGAAAACCTTTACTGAGGTTTAAGGGTTTATGCCGTGAGCACTTCAAGTTCCCGCAACCAAAATTTATATGTGTAGATGAAAACCTGTGAGCTGAGGTTCCCCCTGGATAGCTGCTGAGTTCTTTGGAAAAAATGTTTCTGGATAAAAACCAGTGACCCAAGCCTTTCACTGACTCTCATGTTGAAAATCCAACTTTGGATGAAACCCCTGAGCTTGACGTTTGGCAAAGCTCTTCCAAAATAAAAACACAAAAACTCTCATTGGATGAATGCCGGTGCTTGAGGTTTTTTCATCAGATCCTTAAAACCCGTGTGTAACGTTTTTGGAGTACAGCCCACAGCCACCTGTGGGCTAAACCCAGGCGCTCCAGCCCTAGGTTTTTAGCCTTTGTGCCCCAACGGGGATATGTTCAGCGGTGCTAGTTAAAAGGGTTCCAAGAGCGGGCGGCTTGGAAATCCCCATGCGAAGCAATTGGGGTCGACTTTCGCCGTATTTGCTTGTCATCGCGCTGGTACACGCACATGGCCTTCGAATCCAGCCTTGTCGGTTCTTGCAAGTATCACACGAAGAACACCAGAGGTGAACTTTGAAGCCATGCGCAAATGGGGCGAATTGCGACCTGATCCGCAGAGTGTGCCCGGCGATCAAAGAAGTGGGCCAAGCTTTTTCACGCTTCAGGAACTGTTCTTTGGAAATATCTTCCTCGCAAGGCAGCGTTGCTTGCAGTGAATAGAGATCATCAACCTCTTTGGCGGATGGGCGGCCACGGCCCTTTTTGGCATCCTCTGCTGCTGCATCTGGGGGTCTGGCCCGTTTTCCTGCGCCGCGCATTGGAGGAGGCGCTGCAGTTGGAGTTTGAGAAGGTAGCGCCTGATCTCTAGGGGCGGTTGGACATGATTGGGGAACCGGCCAGAAGGACTCGGGAACATCAAGGTGTTGAAGCGTTGCGCGAAGAGTGGGAGACAAAGGAAACCGATGGAAGGACACGCTGCGCATGTCAGCGCCAGGCAAACGGCGACCCTCACGGACTTCCCACAACTGCATACTGGCTAACGACTGCAACAGCTTGATGCGTTCTTCTGCCTGTGTTGCCCCCTGCAATGACGTGATGTGCTTTCCAACATCGGACAAAGTAATGGGGTCTTTGATGCACGCCAGTAGTAACCGAGACGCCGGTGTTCTAGGAGGCCTGACAGCAGCGACAGCAACTGTGGAAGCTGCCGGCTCTCCGTGCATCGCTGTAGCTTCGGAATCGACAACATTGCAGTCATTCACGATCCGCAAATCAAAGTGCCGAATACAGCACCACATTTCATAGCGTTGTCGGGCAGAACGCCAGAATCCAAATCAGTCATGTTATGGAACGCTGTTAAGCAGGCAGCACTTGGGACATGATATTCCATTTTAGCCCAACGCAGCGCGACTAGCGGATCCCCACCCCCCTCCCTCCCTCCCTCCCTCCCTCCCTTCCTTCCTTCCTTCCTTTCTCGTTTTTTTTATCCCTATTTGTTTTTTTTTGATCCCTCTCCCGTAATTCTGCAAGAATAAAACATGCTAACCTGCATGGAATGGGTTACATCTGGTATCATGGCCGGCATGGCTTGTGAAGTGAAGCTGAATGGAAGAGGTGCCTCTAAATTGCTAGAAATGGGGGAATCATGTGGGCAAAACAATAATGCCATTTGCACCATCCCCCAGTCATCATCATTTTTATGTGGTATGCCTGGAAAACCTAGTTGCCAGAAAAAACGTGGCACTGATAAAAGTCGCCGCAAATCACCCTTCGCGAATAAAAGTCGCCAGGAATGGTCTTTTAATAGTGTTGCTAAAACCTCCCCAACGTCCCAGCAGGTATGGTGAGCATTTGTTCTTTACCATGCCGCTGCCAAAGAAATTTTGTATCTCTGGCACACCTTCAAATGAAGGGTCCTTGAACTGACTTTTCTTGATTGGGTTGATACCCTGCCAATAAAATCTTCGTCCATTTGGCACGACCAGCGCAAAGGGTTCAAACTGCTGCAGCCATTGACTGCATCACACATCAGAGCATATCATGTCCGCAATGAGGTGGAATTTCGGTTGATACTTGAACCGAACCCAGCCCAAACGATAAGCATAGGAGGCACTTTTCAAGAGATCCTCCAGAGCATCAATGATGCGCTTACGCTGTTTGTTTGTCAGCCACAGCCCTGCACGGTAAAGTTTTACCCACATTAGTTGTCTAAAGGCAACATCTGAATCATCTGACATCGAATGTTTATGATGCCGATGGTTACAGTGTATATATATATGTCTGAAACGCAAGCTTTCAGGCAGGGCTGGGGAGTATCCGTTTCAAAGTCACGTCACCCGCAAGCAAGATAAAGTTGTTGCCCTTTTTGGTACGACAAATTCGATCACAAAAACCATACACTTCCATCACCAGTATTGTGTAACTATACTTTGCGTACATCTGTATATATGGGCGCATGTATATATATATATATCACAAATCATATGTATGTGACATTTACATACTCATAAACAATCTCAAACAATGGCTTTAACTGCCAAATTCAAACAAGGAGGCCCCTCAAAAACAAAGTCGTTTTCACGTGTATTATCATGGCTAACCTTAGTAGATACCCTTCATAAAACTAATTCGGACAAAACTAAATCTTGAGCTGGTCAAAATGCGTGTGTGTGTATATATATATACATATTGTATATGTAGATATACAATATACAGTACCCAGACAGACATATGCATGATATACGAGTCCCCTCATGCTTCCATGTATGTATCCTATGTATCCACAATGGCATGTATCCCCATTCAAAGCGGAACATATTCAAGATCTTAAAGAACTACCCTCCTGTAAACTAATATATATATATGGATGTGGAAAACCTAGCTTTTTTATCCCTTTGTAGATCATTTTCCTTAGGTTTCCCCATGGGTTTTCCCACATCTAGTAGTAATCCTTTAGGGCGGCACCGTGCCGCCTGTGGCTTGCCCTCAGCAGCAATCAACTCGCCTTGGCGCCATGCCCAGCGGACGATGGAATTTCCAATCCATGGGGGGTACCCCAATAGCTGGATGGATCAAAGGATTTTTGGGGCCTGTGGGGCCCCCAAAAATGATAGCTAAGTTGGTTTACAACTCCAATAACTATGGTTTATGATACTTATAACTATAGTTAATGGGGTTTATAAACCAACTTATAACTGAGGGGTAGTTGAACCACCCCCTGAAAAATGGATAAAAATGGTGGAAACTCCATAAATGGTGGTACCCAATAGCTGGATGGTTTATTTCATGGAAAATCCCATTTCTAAATGGATGATTTAAGAGTACCCCCATAGGGAAACTCCATTTGAAGGCCAGTTACATATCATTTATTGGGCCATGAACGATTAAGCGGGATGCACCGCCAAGACAAGTAAGCAGGGAAAAGGGAGTCAGATCAGCAAAATCCAGAGATAACATGAGATTAACATGGCCAATCGCCGATACCCTGCAAAAAAACAATTCTTAGCTGGTGAACGTAGATAATCCCATTGTATCCCATTGATACCGACAGACATAGCAGGATAAGTTTCTACCCATCTAAGATTGATCTTGTTAAATAATAATACTTGTATCAACGAGGTCGGAATGGTGAATTTACCCCTTGGTACTCCAACCTGGCTTAAAATCCCTATGGGACGATTTTCCGTGAACAAAAAATCTCGAAATGAATGGGTGTTGCTACTAATACGATCGTGTCTTGACTATATAATATTATATAATACTATATAATACTATATAATACTATATATGTATGTACTAATTATCAACATATCTAAACATGGGAATTGACAATTGATGACAATTGATATCAATTGATAGCATTGCTTAAGACCTTCAGACCAAGAAATTCAGTCATGCACTGCTGCTGGCTGGGCGAACCCACTTGCAAGCCGCCCAGAATGCTGGAATTGGATAGGATCGAATCCGCAGGGATCTAATGATCTATTTGATGGCGACTCCGAATCTGGTTTTGACTCGGGACAGGGTCAGGCAATGAAGCAGTGACCTGCAGGTTGTCACACATCTCAAATTTGGGGGTACAATTGTAGGAACCATGGCGCAGTACGGAGTAGAACTGAAGCGGATGCTCAAGGAGCATGGATCTTTTCAGCAAATGGAATGTCTGGGGGATGGTATACCAAGCACTAGCTGAACGCCCAGAAAGGATGAACACAGAAGATGATCAAGAACGCACTGGATGTACAGGGGTTGGTTTTCCCTTGCCATTTAGCTTCATGTCAAAGTATATACAGTATATGCCAGACTTGTCACCATAAAAATCTGGAATGAATCCTGAATCAGACAGTTCTCTTGGGTTCTCCCCAATGTAGCTACTATTAATCGGGGGTTCAGTCTCCCAAGTACCCCTGATGCTGCTGGTTTGTCAATAGGTATTCACAATCTTGACTTACACCAAACAATGACTGGGATATTACAATAACCATGAAACCAATGGGGCTTCTTGCCAGGGTTCCCCTAAAAAACCTGGTTTCCAGGCAACCAAAAATACTTTCTGGTCATCAATCCTGGCAAGGTCCGGTAAGGTCCAGTATACGGTGGTTGAACTAACCAGATTTGCCGCTTCACGGTAGATATTTATATCAAATCAATGGGAATTTCAGGATCCTAAAATGGAGGTACGTAAACGTACCATATAAGGCCATATTTTCTGGGGATATTCCCTGAAATTTAGGCCTCAAAAATAGGCCTTATATATGGAATCGGTACCTCCAATCAATCGGTTCCTGTTGCATGGCCATTGATCAAACTGGTAGATGTGTTTATGAACCAACTACCATAGCCCCAATAATTACTTCATACTTCGACCCTAAGAATCGACCCTCAGAATCTCATGGCAAGGGTTTATCTTTTTTTGAACTAAGGGGAATGATAATGACGTGTTGTAAAAAAGAGAGTCCCATGATGGATAATGACAATCCCCTGTAAATTACGAAATCAGGTAGGTTGATAATCTCTTACAGATAAGCCAATCAGCAGGGGCTTTGGTCACTGCTCAACTAGTAGCTAAAGCAGGTCACATGCCATGGCCAATACATGGTACCTGGAGTACAATAGGTAAATTAACCCCTATGAATTAAAATACGTTAACCCTTCCTAATACCATTCCATACCATTCCTATAATCAGTATTATTGAATTCCTATCAATTCCTATTAATTAATTCATCCGTACCATGCAACCCCTATTACATAATGGGTGCATTAACTATACTTAACCCCTGCTACGGGATTCTTAACCCCAACAAACCATACCACACTTGTTAACCATAGTAAACCAAAACCAACCAGCATCAATCAACAATCATCAACCATAACCAATGCTCTTCAACTATAATCAAACATCATCAACCACGTGGTTCACCAAAACTAACCATAGCCGACCACAATAAAGCACAATTACATGGCCAATCTTAGCTGGTTGGTGGTATACCTACCCCTCTGAAAATATTAAAGTCAGTTGGGATGATTATTCCCAATATATGGAAAAATCAAACATGTCCCAAACCACCAATCAGTTAGATACCCTTCGAAAAAAAAAAAAAAAACTAATTCTTAGCTTGTGAACGTAGATAATCCCATTGATGCCAAAAGACTAAAGGATTACACTACCCATCCAAGATTGACCTGGGGATGACCATTCCCCTTTCAGCTTCAATGCATCTGAGCTTCCCAAAATCTTTGCTTCGGAGCTCCGTAGTTGCGTCGCGACGGGCTTGAATCGCTCCTGTGTTCTTGATGGCTGGTGTAGCGAAAGTGGGCTTTGGGATAGTTTCGAACTGTTCTAGGTGAAAATAAAAAGGTTATATAACCAGACGGGACCATGACTTCTGGTAAATAAATGTAAATAATTGTAAATATAAGTTGATGGGGGGTTATAGCTATAGTTCATCGGGGGTTATAAACCAACTAATAACTGGGGGGGGGGGCCATCTTGTATGCTGGGGATGTAACTCGCCCAAACAGATTGGATTCAAGAGGATTGGGAGATTTTAAGCGAATTTCAAGCCCAAAAATGGTGGTGTCCTTCTGATAAACAACTTTACTCTACCTTGAAACAACTTAAATCCTTGGTGGAAAATATCAATGAAGGAATAGGAAAACCATCGATGCATGGGGTATCGTGGGGTAAATGCCACTGAACCGTGGCTGTTTTCAGGTGCGGTACCTCTGTTGCCACTTCTTGGGAACCCCAGAAAGTGAACTGGGTGTAGGATGTGACTCAAAGAGGGACTTGGAAAGAATATATTCTTTTTGAGAAAACAACCGCTTTGTACATGTGGAGAAAACAATCATTGTATATAATCCGTTTGAAATTTAAAACGGAAGTTGTTGTTGTTGTTTTTTTTTTTGCCTGGGTTTTAACCAACCGTTTTGTCGCTTGAAATCGATAGTTGCGCGTGTCAAAATGTGTTCGATAAAATTGGGAGGCTTAATAAAAACAGGTAACCCACATCTGTGTGTAATGAACAAACATGCCATGTTGAGCTTTCCCGAGATTTCTCTTTTCCAGGGTCAGCTGGAACATGTTTGTCGTTCAACCGTACATCCTCATACTGCAAATATCAAAACATGTACATATGATTATCTGGATCTATGTGTGTAAAGAATTAATTATTAAGACACCTTTAAACAATGCACATCATTCCTAGCTTTACCACATAGGTTCTAGCAAAAACTGCACACATCTACTCCCCCAATTCATATAGTTCTGGCCAGTTTAAGACATCTGAAGATATTTCGATCGGAACATATCCATATATAACTGGTTGGTGGTATACCTACCCCTCTGAAAAATATAGAAGTCAGTTGGGATGATTCTTCCCAATATATGGAAAAATATAAAATGATCCAAACCACCAACCAAATATTATATATCTATATATATAATGGAAAAACATATCTGGAGATCAGCATTTTGATATTTAAAACATGGGATATCAACCATGCCTCTGGAGCCCCAGGAAACATAGGACATCGATTCGGACAAATCGCCGTTTCCACGAACACTTCTGTGGGCTTTCTGCATCAGCCGGTGGCAAAAAATAGCGACACAACTGTGCACAGTAACCGCACGGATCACAAAGGTGCCGATGCTTGGAGTTTGACTTTGACAGAGCTCTCCGACACTGCCGTTCAACCGCATTTTTTTGGTTGCGAAGATCTGGAGATAATAAAATATTGATATTTAAACATGGGATATGAATGAACCATCCGATCATTGTTCATGATTTTTCTGGTTGGTGGTATGGTGGTATACCTACCCGTCTGAAAAATGATGGAGTTCGTCAAGTGGGAGTATTATTCCCAACTGAATGGACAAATAAGAGCCATGTTCCAAACCACCAATCAAATATATATATATATATACTGTATATCATTGGTTGGATGATTTACCCATGAAAAATAGATCCCCATTAAAAATCCCCATAGAAATATCAACCACAATAGGATACAATAGGGCCTGTTGTTCCCACGCCTTTTTTTCAAGTCATCCCCAAAAATCGGAGCGCCTGCAACATGGCTGAGCTGCTTTGCTTGGCCAAGGCCTTGCCCGGTGGTCCGTCCCAGGCCATGATGGAGGGGACCTCCTACCCGGCCTGGTCAACGTACACAAAACTATTGAACATGGCCATAGAAATAGTGAGTTTTCCCATGAAAAATGGGACAATTTTCCAGTTCGTTATGTAAACGTTTACCAGGCCGGGTAATCTGGAACGGGAAAATCGCCTCATTGATGGCTTTTTATGGAGGATTTTCCAGATATGACATGATGTTCATGGTTGCAATATTTGATCGCCAACGGGTATCTCCTGGGTTGAACATCTTTGCAACCAAACAGAATGCTCTTCTGTGAGTTTAGTCGTGCTCGTCTGCGGACCCCCTGGAAGTTACTGGGACGAATCAATTATGCTCAAGCCATCTCACGAAAAAATACAACCATGGTTCTGGGGTGATGAATCAATAATAAGACTAGTTCAACCAACAATGTCTGTGAGGACAAAATGCTGACGGACCAGTGACTGGCATACCAATTTTATCATCATTTACCTATTTGGATGGGTTTCCTGTTTCCATATGGTGAGTTTCTCGGTTTTATAAACCCAGTAATGTGGGTTAAACAATTTCATAAACCATCCCCCAAACCACCATAAATAGGTGGTAGTTTTTACCATTCCCAAAATGGGTGATAAAAATGGCATTGTTTTACCCTCATTATCTCCATGGACTATGGATTCATGCATGGGTGATCCCTCTCAATCAACCAACTAATGGCAACATTTCCGGTGCTTTCCGGGATAGTCGAAACGGAGGGTACAGCTGACATTGTTTAATGATCTAATGCAATCCAATTGCATACATACTAATCTCAATGTCTGTATCATATGTGTATACAGATACTTGAACAATCAATATATCTACATAGTATATGATTGTATATGATTGTTATCTAGTTATATGATTGTATATGATACTTGAACAATCAATATGTCATCGCCATCATATTCATGTAATTCATGTATGATTGTTATCTATGTATACGTCAAAACATGCGACGCAGGGCGCCTCTGCCCAAAAGAGGGCCAGGTAAAAGTGGCTGCCGCGATTGTCCAGCTGCATGACCTGTCGAGCAGTGACGAACCGCCTAGTTTCCCTCCAGTAAGTTCATAGATATGGAAACATATGGAAAAAAACATGGTAAACCCCGAGTTTCCATGGGCAATGATCTACAAATGGGTCCAATTTTCATATCTAACATATCATGGATTGTACCCTTTGGTTATTCAACATAGCCATGGTATAGATGGCCCATAGAAATAGATGATTTTCCCAGCTATAAACCTCCATTGAATTGCGGGATTTTCCAGTTCGCTATGTTAGTCACAACCAAATGGTATAGATCATCATTTTCCCAATTCTTTTCCCATTCTATCCCATCAAAAACCACTAGTTTTGATCGTTGATACTAATAACCCATAGCTGTTGAATAACAACGGGGGTTTATGCTGGCCCACAAAAACAGGGCCCCAGCATAAACCAAGATCCGAAGAGATTTTAAAAATTCCAACGAGCATTGCTTTTCATATCGACGGTGGATTTTTGGGCTGAAGGGCTAAACTTTTCATCATTTTCCAGCCACATGAAAAAAGGGTTCCAAGCACCGTGGGAGAATAGTCTGATTTTTTGTTTAAGTACACCCAAATCCAATGGCTGATCATGCTTTTCCACCTGAAAATCACTCTTTAGGTGTTTCTTAAGTCATGGGGATCCCCAATTCACGAAGGGTTTCAATACATTAAAGCCTTAGGAAACCTCCATTTGATACCGCTACACCGCTGCTATCACCCATGTTCGGCTTCGGCATTGGCAGCGGGTCAACCCTCAAGCATTTCTCGAATCTTGTTGATAATGTCAACCCCGGATTAATAAACCATGGTTTATTAATTTGGGGGGTACTCCTCCAATAGTCATAATCTGATAATTAAATGGTATCCCCCAATTAAACAGCCGTTTGGGGTTTATTAATCCAGGGTTGACATTGCCAATCTTCTTTTGGAGAACACTGAAATGGGCGGAGTTAGCTGCTTGGTCCCTTCCAACCGACTCCAATGGCTGAAAAAAAAATAGTTATAACAAAGTTATAACCCACAAACACTCAGCTAACTAGCTCCATCGCCCTGTGTAGTCACGTAGATTAACCCACGCGCCGGCCTTGCGTTGAGGCGATTTGCCGCCATCCAGCACTTGACCTGGCGGCTTCGCCATGGCCAGCCAGGATCATATCTATCGAATCTATCGAAATGACATAGAACTTCTGCAGTATGTTAAACCTTCAGTTAAACCTACCAAATCCAATGAAGACTCCTATCATCACATGACAACCAGGAGACGAGGCTCGACCCCAATTTTCCGGCCACGTTGGATTCTTGGATGAGGCTGGATACTTTTTTACACAGATACCCGGCAAACAAAAGAAACATAAAATCTATGTCTATGTTTGCCGGGTATCTGTGTATAGTACCATGTTAAACATAACCATCATCCGGCTAAACATAAACCATCGTCAATCTTTAGCTCCGCTTTTTTTGGCTCCTTCGTATTCCACTATAAAAATCCACCAACAAAACTCAGAAAGGCGGCGCCTACTGCGGTGGAGAGAGTATCAGCCATGACCTTCGCATCGGGGTTGTTGGTCTTCAAGGCAACGTCCTGGTGTCGTCCCTGAAGGTTTGAGGGGGAGCTAGACTGGTGAGTTTAACCAACAAGACTGGTGAGTTTAACCATGATCAATGGTGGTTTTAACAAATTTTAACAGATTTTAACCAACAAACATAACAAACATATATATGGACATGTACAATGAAATAATATTGAATATACATACCCTCTGGTAATTTAACATAGCTATTGAAAATTGCCATAGAAATAGTGAGTTTTCCCATGAAAAATGGTGATTTTCCATAGTTTTTTGTATGTTTACCAGAGGGTATATGGCTATTGTCCAGTCAAGAGCTGCAAAAAAAAGTTTCAGGTCCTCCAGTGACACCGTCATCGCCATGAATTCACCCAAGGAATCCCATCCTGTGGCGAAGATGGGATTCCCCCCCAACGGGGGGTCGAGGATTCCTGGGGAATTCATATATGGGGTTAATATTAATGGTTAATATTAATGGTTAATATATGGTTTATATAATCTATATATAATATATAATAATATCTATATATATATATATATATTGAATATACTGGTTGGTGGTTGACCCACTCCTCTGAAAAATGATGGAGTTAGTGAAAGTCAGTTGGGATATGTTGGGATGATTATTCCATTCCCAATGGAAAGTCATAATCCAGCCATGTTCCAGTCACCACCAGCCAGATTTGGGTGTTACATCAAGAACATCAAGTTGAAACCATACTGAAAGTCAAGTCTGCCTCATGAACCCAAAGCCAAGCAATCCATGGGATTTTGCAGGAATCACTGGGCCCAAGTTCAACCAAAACTCTATATAGATAAATATACATTTTGTATATATACATATAATATATATATATATATGTAGATACTATTGGTATTTGTCAGAGATTCATTCTTCAGATACCTCAGCGAGTTGATGTTGAGTTGATCCACTGGCCAGTTGACATCGTAGACCCTCAAGCAATATCCCTCTGTACAGGTTTATACTTAAATACATGTAACATGTGTACAGTATAGTGTGTACATATATATATATATATCAAATCAATAGATAGATTTTGAATGATGTTGGTTTGTTAGTATCTAGATATTATTTATTTATATATATATATATATATATCATACATTGAGTATATCAAATCGATGTACCCTACACCCATTCCCCTGGGCATGTTGTTTGCCTTTAGCACAACCATTTTTCACCAAGACTCTGAGGTGACCCTCCTGCATGAACTGCTGCACATGTTTGGGCGCAGAACCACCTCCAGCGCTGTTTCCGTGATGTGAAAACATCATGTCGAAATCCACCAGGTGATGTTCAAAATCTGTAGATATAACAAGCCGCAAGGTGTGTAGATATAATAAATCAATATATGCTAGTATCCATATATATATATATATGTTAGTATCAAAATCACTCTGTGTGTAGCCACTGGCCAATTTTTTTCCAAACTTTAGTGGACTCAGTTCCAGTGGATCAACATCATCGTCTCACTCTCTTGACAAAGTCGTGCGGAGTTTGAGAATTCTTTGAAGCCAGGATTAATGAACCCCCAGTTAGTTTCGCAAAAATTGATAACGTGATTCGCCAAAAGATAACCATGCTACCTAAAAATGGTATGTACCTATTAGTAATTTCGGGGGGTACTAATGTTGACAATATCATCCTCTGTTGACTTAATTGCTAGAGTAAAATAGCAAATTGACCAACAACAAGAACTCCATGCAACTGGTACCAATCAAGCACCACTCCCTACTCAGTCTACCCCGACCTGCGCCAGTCTCAAACATGCCGCCGCCCGCTAACAAAGGAACCACCGAGAGCCTGTCATAAGAATGGCTGTGTTCATAGTTCAGTGTGTATATATATAAATATATATATATAATATGTATATATATATAGTTATATGTATCTATGTATATATATATAAATATAGTTATATGTATCTAGGTATATATATATATACATATACATATGTCAATGTATATATATATATACATACATATGTCAATGTATATATATAATATATATATATAGTTATATGTATGTACTATATATATATATGTATATATTATATATATAGTTATACATAATAATATACAATATATGATTATACGAATACATATATATATATATATGCATATATATATATATGCATATATATATGTATACTGGGTAAATACTGGATTTGTAATGAACATGTAATGATAGTGGATATATTCTTTGGATATACCCATATCATGATGCCTAATGATCACTGTCGTGTGGGAGCCATGGAGCGTATGACAACTCAACAACAATTTTCCATCCGAGTGGAAGAAATCACCTGGATGTTGCTGGGTCTGACACCTGCCAAAGTATTTGTCAATTAATCATCACAAATAGGATTGAACTTGATTAAACATGAAAAATGACTGTGAATCAACATAATCAACCGTTTCCGAATCAAACTCATCCTTCTCATTGTGCCAGAATTAGTTTGCGGGCGGGTATATATATATATATATATGTATGATACCATATAAATACCATATATATATATATGTATATATATATATACATATATATATATAACATATGTAACTCTTCATGTACGTATGCACTACAAGTACAAGAACGTTTCTCCTTAAAGTTAATCCCATCCAGCAAATGCAAAGCCTAAAATTCCACAAATATCTTCCAAGCAAGACTACTGGAATCTACAACGAATATTGTATTTCCAGTTTTTTTAACCTCTGATCCTACCCAGAAAACTATGTTCAGAAAAACCTGCCTGCCTTCTTGGTGGTTCTTATGACCCATGATGCAGGGAAAGAGGAACATATCACCACAAATAACAATTGTCAAAAAAGATCCTGGAAGAAACGTGAAAAACTCTCCAATAATTCAACATGTCGATGGACAATCACGAGCTGGAATGGGAAAATGCTCTCTAACTCAACAACCTTCCCTTGCCATCAATGATTGCTAAAAGGATTTAGAGAAAAACCTCCGTGATTCCTCCTATAACGAACGAACGAACTAACTAACTAGCTAACTAACTAGCTAACTAACTACATGAATAACATCAATAAATACATAGATAGATAAATAATCAAATATATATATACATACTGTATATACCCCGTCACCAACATGTCCGGCAAAATTCACCTTGCGCCTGATGATTTGCCTCTCCCATTGGTTCCGACTCCAAGGGACATCTTTGCACTGGTGCCAAGCTCTAAGATGGGGAATAAGTCCGTCAAGTAGTCACCTGAGGACGAAGAAAAAGCTGACTTTCACCAGATAAGAACTCAGACTGGGGTACGATTTTTTTAGCCCGTTCGTGAGCCATGTTTCAACATCATGGCTCGACCTTATGATGTGATGACAGTTGGTGTATCCTTACTATGATATATCCCATAGGATCCATGTATGCTATATATATATATATATTTATGGTAACATTTACCATCAATATACCCCCAATGTTAGCATATATATATATATCATACATGGATCCTATGGGTATAGCAATCCCCAATAAAGCCGTTGACATCAGTCCCAATTAGTTAATCTATCAATACCGGGGTAAGTCAAGTCTGGCGCCATCATTTGTCAAGTCGTCGCCATAGGATTCGCCGATCTAACACGAGGGGCCCCACGGAGCAATGTCATGGCCTGTGAACTTTTTTTCGTAGATGAAATCCAGTAACTCATAACATGGCAAATTTTGTATAACTTCAACTTTAAACTCAATCCCAGATGCGAACCATGGTGCTGGAATATGCACACCAACATTTACCCGAACAAAATCACCCAGTTATGTAGGTGTGCATATACCAGCACCATGGCACCATGGTTCGCATACGGGAATGATAATTCATCACTACCCGTATTACAGGGGGAGTTTCCTTTTAAACGTATTGAAGGTACCACGGGATGGGAACCCATCCATGGGACTGATTAGAGCAACCAACAGGTACCACGTACCAAGTTACGAAACATGATTTTATCACATCCACCAACGTTACGGCCTTAAATATTCTCCATGACTACCATATGCCAAACATATATATATATACTGTATATATATATATAACCATATATATATATGTAAAATTATGTAAATATGTATATCCATATATAACCGCACATATATAAGTTAACCGACCAACATATATAACCTACCAACATCTTGGGGATCAATGAGCAACGGCCGGCCATTTGGAGTGGGTGACAGAACACCAGAGTACCGCCGCGGTACCGCCAGTTGTTTCTCCATCACCACATGTAAAATCTTGCCAAATTTACCTTCGGGATATTTAACATAGCCATGGAAAATGGCCCATTTGTAGATGGATTACCTATTAAAAATGGTGATTTTCCATGGCTATGTTAAATAAGCAGATGGTAACATGGTTTGTCACTTGATTCAAACGTATTCAAACAGCAAAAACTGTTTGGATCTGTTTGGGTGGAGACACAGACCCAAAGATACCCAAAAATGTGGAGGTTTCCTAAAATGCTGGTACCTCCAAATCATTCAAAATTAGACCATTTTAGTATTGACACCCATGATTTTGGGGAACCCACACAAATTTCAGAACTCCCATGTAAAAAGATGGATATATTCTCCAAACCAGCCATTTAAATCGAGAAAAACACTGGTGAACCATCAGATTTCGGGATATCCCCCCCGGAGGCCCCATTGGTGATCGGCTCCCTTTCTTCGTGGATCATATCCGTAAATGGATGAACTAAGTTGGTTGTCCACCATTTATATCAGTGGTGATGGGTGAACGTTCACCCATTTATATCATTTATAAATGGGTGAACTAGCTATATGCGTATTCACCATTTTGATATATCTAAATATCAATAAGTGGGGTGATCCATACTCAGTAGCCATCCAATGCCAAGACCGTCTCGCCCAGAAACGGAGGACGTTGCCAGTGACCGTGATGGTATCCAGGCCCTTTCCTGAATGATTTGCAACGGCTGTCCCAAAACAATGTATAGTCATACATAGATATAATACAAAGTATATATAGCCATCTCCCCAGACAGGTACAAAAGTTAGTTCTCCTTATAATTTGTGAACATTCATTTTTTTTTACAAGGTCGCTGGATATAAAGATGTATATATACATATACCCTCTGGTTATTTAACATAGCCATGGTATAGATGGCCCTAATCGAAATAGATGGTTTACCGAACTTAATAGCATGGTGGATCTTTCCATGGCTATGTGAGTCATAGCCAGAGGGTACATATATATAATAATATTAAACATATTAGTCTTGTCCAATATGGTTGGTGAGTTGGGGAGAATCATGCCAACAACAGTGATGAAAATCTGGGTAGCGTAAAGTGGTTAAAACATCGTTGTTGAGAGACCGCTACACAAAATTAGAATTTGTGTATAAACTTATAAACTATATGTATAGTCAACCAGTCAACCATCATGGTTGGTAAACTAGTATGTCAACTATAGTCAACTATTATATGTAAACTGCACTATAGTCAACAAAATGGTAGCCCAACATTTGATAGTCAACTAGTCATTGTCATCATATTTTCCCTTTTTGAAAAGTGCCATAAAAAATGTCATGGGCATGCCAATTATCAGACACATTCCAGAAAAAGATAATAGGAACAAATCCCTCAATACTTGGGGTTCTAAGCAGCTCACGAGATTCGGATCGCCAACCGTCAGAGATGGCAACATGTAAACACCCCAGCTGGCTCGTTTATCGAAAGGGCTCGGGGCAAGATATGATGAACAAACAGGGATTCACAAGGTGAGTTCAGTTCAGTTAGGGTGGCCGGTAAGGTAAGCCCGGTCACAATGTAGACGGCTCGCCATACTTTGGATTTCATGGGGCATTCAATAAGTAATTCATCAAGCCTGGGGGATCCGTGCCGCCGAATGACAACCCAGGTGCATCCATTCGCTGACTTTAATCTTAGAAGTTTGAAACTTTCAGTGGTTGTACACATGTGTTTTTGAATTGGCTCTTAGCAAGTAAATTAGTCGATCAATTTTTGAGTCTCGTCTGATTTCCTCGTGTCTTTGATTGGGGAAAAACACAATTGATTATGCAACCTCGTTGCAGAGTTCAACCCATTTCAACACAGATGTGGGGGTAGGTCACAACATGTCACAACCATATCATACCTAAGATCAAAATAGCTGGTTTTAGCTGGATGCCCATCCCATAAACAAAATGCTATGGATCGCGACAAGAGTCAACTGAATTCAGTTGGGACATTCCAAGTAGGATGATTATTATAGGGGGTTATCCTATGTTGGTTGTAAAATTATACTATAGATTATAGTAACATTTTTTGGGGGGGTTATCCATGGTTATCCTATTGTTTTTTTTTAACCCCCTATAATCATCAACCCTTGTACCCGACAAGTCTCGGGCCCGCTCGAGGGTAAATTTCATGGCCTTGTCGCCAAGTCATCGCAGGGCCAAAGTTGGAGAATCTGGTGCAATTGTGGTTAAACCACAATGGTTATGGGTAAAACATTGGTACAGGATGGGGCCCCCAAAGATAGGTAAGTTGCCTTATAACTGGTTTAACTATGGTTTATGGTAGATATAACTATAGTTAATGGGGGTTATAATGGTATATAAACCAACTTATAACTGGGGGGCCCCATCCTGTACCTAGGTCTAAAATTTCTGGTTAGTGGATATTTATTCCCCCAAATAAATAGGTTTTGACCCACCCCCAAATACATCCGTGGCCAAATACATCCGTGGCCGTGTGACGATGTATGAAGAAACCAAATCGTAGGATATGGGATGGTTGATTACTGAGTCTTGCATATACCGCCACAAAAACAGGCACGATTACTGTAGTAGTGTCCTACGAAAGATGATTGGAAGATATAGTCAAATGTGCTCACTACTGCCATGATTGTGCCAAGATGGGTCATGCAGCCATGCAGGTAGTAAAGTGGTTCGCAAGCCCTTACAACCGGGTATGTAATGGGTTACAACCCACTCACTGGCCCAGCTAAGTAGGGTACGTCTCAGTATGCCTTATCATATGGAGTTCAGTCAATTGACCCGGAATTATATTCCAAGAAAAACAAACAAGAAATTTGTTTGAAAATGGGGATTGAGCTCCCAAATTTAATTAGGCAAAATCTGATTAAACATCAAAATTGGAAGTACCATATTTTCGAACTATATGTCCGTGTGTGCCTATCCACTCAGAAATCCTGCCTGGTAAACCCCAAACGTTTGGTTTTGTGATCAATGTGTGAAATATATATATATATCGCAACTACAATTACCAACCACTCAAATCATTCCTACTCTTGCACTTTATGGTATTGTGTGTTGATATTGTTGATATATGTTGATATATATCATGAAGAACGTTTCGACGGTAGTTTGGGTTTGTTTGGCTTATGCATGATCTCTCCAGCTACCCTCTGGTTCTCTACTGTGTTTGAGAATGCAGTTCCAGTCAACTATGTGGACATATCACCATAGTTGTAGCAGTTACACCCCAACTTTTGGGGGTCATTGCCATGATTAGTTACAACCATTATATATATATATATTATATTAATATATAATAATATATATATATTACAGTAATATATAATCATTAATAATTCAAACTGCACACATAAAGAGATTTCGTCCCGGGAGATGACACCCCGGGGATTCTCCATGCGCACCCAGGGATTCTCCGCCAGGTTTACCCCATGAGATTGTATGTTTGCAGATGGTATACCTGTCTAGTGTTGAAAGATACTTGAAGATATCTCTAGCCATACCCAGATGCTCCATGTATGGTATATTTACCAACATTTACCCTAAAAATCACCCAGTTATGTAGGTAAATATACCAGCACCATGGAGCATATGGGATATGTATCACCAAATTCATCCGTTCATGGAGGTACAACAAACACATTCATGGCAAATGCAAAATCAACAATACATGTAAACGATTTTTCATAGGATCTATCCCATTTTAGGGAAAATTGACGGAAACACAAAAAAAATACACTTAACATGGGTCAAAACCCTTTTGATCATTTTTGTTCACACGTAACACACATAAAGTAACTGGGATATGCTGGGATTTATGGATGTTCATCTCCCCAAAGTCTGGTTGTGACAGGACCTCCTCTGGGGACAGGATGCGAATGTCCAAACCTGGCGAGGAATTCCACCAATTGAAATGGCAATATGTTCGCGAGTCAAAAACTTACTGGTGCTCAGCAGGGAATGGATGGGTTGCTGGGGGTTGCTGGGATTATTAATAGTGAATATTCCCTACTAAGCCCCAGTCCAGTAAGAAAAGGAGGATATCTACATACCTAGGCCCATGTTCTAATCATTAATGACTATTCTATGCTTAAAAAGTCTCCATTACGAATCGAGAGTTTCTCGAACATGGAACCAGTAGGCCAACAAAACAAAGGGGTTCTTCACCGAGGCCATCATTTGCGGCAAAAACTACAAGGCATACGGCATACATATTTATCGAAGGAAGTTTAGAAGTCAAACTTCCGACAATATGGACAGATGAAAATTGTTATTTTTTGACCAATGGCCGTTCTGCAACATGGAGCTGATTTTTTTCTTTCACCATCTGAAGATAACGTCCGAAAAGCAGCTCATGCAATGTCACATCAACGCAGCCGGCTTCAGCCCAAGCCCCGAACAAGTAGGAGTGGAGCTGTTACAGCCTATGACCTGGCATCTGGGAAATGTGAATTCAAACTGTTTGAACTTGAATGTCGCAAGGTGCTGGCCAGCTCGAACATCTGCAACTCATCCAAGCCCTCACCTGAAGCATACGGATTCTGCGACAGAAACGCAGGCTGCACTTCAACATTGTCGAGCGTCGCAGTCTCTCTCTTGCCGGAATCTTGGAACAATCCGGCCACATACGATCCTTGAGCGCGATTGGCTGTTTTGAGGCGCTTGTAGAAAGCATTCTCGACATTGGTCACTCGCAATGCCCAAAGTCTCCTCGTCTCAAGCTCGCCACACGGGAACATTGCGGCCACCAGTCTCCCTTGCCTTCCTCCATAAATGTTGCGAGCATGCGGCTCTCTGACGACTGGCCCTTCGTCGTCCTCAGTGGCCAATCTCTGTAGCACTATCTCGACTCGTCGACGAGCCAGGTAGCCATGCAAAATTATGCATCAGCAATCTGCGTAGCACATGTCTCGATTTTTCTTTCTCTCTGCGTAGGTGTTCAAGCCGCTAGTTCATGTGTTGCTACGAGCTTTTGTTCAACGACCGCCTTTCTGAAACATTGCATGTGCTCTATCAAGATGCTGTTTCTTGAAGGGGTCGTGCGCCATAAAGAAATGCATAGAAATGCAGGCTCCTTTCTCTTGGCACAATTGGCCACCAACAAAAACACAGGAGCAAACACAACTGATGCAGACATGACTGCATGCATGCAGTGCGACTGTGTGACTGCGCAATCTACGGCTGGACAGAGCAAATGGACGCGCGTGGACTGTTGTTAGCCGACAAAACATTGACATTATCATACATATATACATATATATATATATTTATACACCAACAGTTTATGGGTCCACCTACGGGTCAGCATACATAGGCATGACGTATGTCCTACGTATGGCAAACCCGTTCAAAAGTACAAAATATGTTGTGTTATTTGTTTCGGTGGAATCATACCTCCAGAAAAGCTTATCCTAGGTCCTAGATGTCCAAATCCAAAACTGAAAAACACATTTTCCTGACAAAAATGGTTATTCAGGAGAATTGGCCGAGCCAGTGTTTACGTTTTCATGTGGAATGTTTCTGACACTGCGTACAAATCGCGCAAAGTTTCGCTCAAATGATGCAAACTTTGCCCGGGCCCACATCTTCTACATTTTTTTAAGGTTCCTGGCTTACGATCAAATACGGCACAGATACGCACAAATCTCAATTGTACGGTGCTCTATGTATGATTTGCCATCTTTGAGTTGCTTCATGAAATCTATAGCACGCAACCTTGGGGGGGTGCTATTCTGTAGCTGTAGAAAGACCGGTTGACTAACTTGCCCTCTTGACAAAGAACCCCCTTCGTGCTATATTTCTGGGCAATTTACAATAATTCGCACCGCGTCACCTCGTCGTTAATTCGCATGTGTGACGTTTCACCGCGCCTCGTTAATTCTACTTTTGGGAATTTCTGGACTCGTTCCTTTACCTAACACATCACGGTGGTGCTCTTTCAAAAAAAAATACTTTTCAGAGGCTGAACAACTTTTTCTGGTTGGTTGGTCGCAGTTGCAACGCTTCTATCCGGTCCCGAGGAGAAAAGACTTTTCAGCCTGTGAACAGTTTTTTTTGCGCATGTTTCTTCGGCCTCAGCATTTGGCCACAGAATAAATGCAGGTGTTTGACTCAAGGGGGCAGTGTTTTTTCAAAAGACTCTTGAAAATAAGGGTCCGTTAGGGCGCTAGCTAGGTAGATATGGAGATATACAAATATGTGTATACAATTACCCAAGAAATCAACTATACGGTATATATGGGTCAACATGTTTCAGTCAGGCCACAGGAACATTGATGATTCTTATCCTTTGCCATTCCATGCATGGGACCCCTGTTTTGATCCACATATATATATATATATATTATACATCAATTACAATTAATTAATTAATTAATTAATATATATATATACATGTATATATTTATTATACATTAATATATATATATATATACATACATATATTATATCGTATTTAATCGTCTATTATATGTGTTTTGGTTTACTGCACGTTCTTCGAATTGAGCTCGGCTAGCTACATCTGGCTTGTCACCACCGGTTCATGGGATGGCGCACATTTCTCTTCGAATCTGTGGAATGACGCGGGAGTCGTCATTGACCAATGGCCCCCCCAAAAAAAAAACGACGGCATTCTCAACAGATATCACTGATATCACTATCTAATCAAACATATGGCTGAATTAGGAACATGCTCTGGAAACACTTCGATGATTTACCTAGCATCTGGTTATGACATGTTATGACTCACATAGCCATGGAACATCACCATGCTATTAATAGGTAAACTATATCTATAAATGGGTCATTTTCCATGGCTATGTTAAATCACCAGAGGGTAGATGATTCTAAATGTTCATTTAGTGAGTTCCCAGCCAATTCAGGCCTTGATGAACGGATATTTCTGGTGAGGTCTTTCTCAAGTTGCTGTACTCTACCGAGCCCCAGTCATCTGGTCCAGGTTCGGCCTTCGGTGTCGTGTCTCTTCAAATACCTCAGTGAGCCATGGCCAAACTGAGAATGGTAGGTGATTATCACAATCTATATTATTTATATATATATATACATATTATATACATGACATATTAAAATATACATATACATATTATATATATATTATATATATATTATATACACATATGTGTCAATAATGGATGAATATGGTAAAAACAGTTGTTTATTTATGCGATGAATGGGATAGTTCTCTGGGTAAGTGTGAAACTATTAGAAACCATTCTTCCCGCCATTCCAGTTTCGTTGGATAGTTCCAGGTGGCTATTTCACAAGGACTTCTTCAGAACAGAAAACATGTGATAGATATAAGCCATCAGAGCAGCCAAATGTATCAAGAGATTGTGGACTTGCAAAATAGGGCCCCCAATAGTAAGTTTGTTGATAATAAATTGACATAGACCTTGCCGTGAGTTAAGGTCGAAAGATTTAAGTTTTCAGTCAATGATTGGCAACATTCAGGGCCTATGTTCGTTTGGTCCAAGGTCCATGGTGTTTACCCTCTGGTAAACTAACATAGCTATTCAAATGTCAAAATGGCCATCTATAGTTGAGACTTACCCATTAAGAATGGTGACTTTCCCATAGTTATGTGACAGTTTACCAGGCTGCCAAACGAGCCAACACATCATCGAAGCAGTTTGCACTGACTGTTGTCGATCCCATCCGGTGATCGACAGGGTTTCGGCTCGGAGGTGTTTCAATTTTGGGCAACGGGTTTTCAGTGTACCCTCTGGTTATGACTAACATAGCCATGGTATAGATGGCATAGAAATAGATGACTTTCCCAGCTATAAACCTCCATTTATTTTGGGGATTTTCCATGGCGAACTGTTAGTCATAACCAGATGGTATGTCCCAAAAGATCGAAGCATCCGAACCATGATGGACTTTCTGTAGTGCTGCCCATCCTCTCCACCATTTTTCGGCTTAGCCCACTTAGTACCGTAAGTAGATTCTATCCCTGGGAAATTGGAGACGCAGCTGGAGAAATGCCGATCATTTGCAAATATCCACCCCATGTCTTCCTTGAACACTGAGCAAATATCGTGTCATCAACCGTCCAGGGTTCACCTTTAGGACCTAACGTATTACTCCCAAGTAGGAATATGTTCACAGCTGGGAATGGTGTAAATAAAAGAAACATTGCATATCATTTTATATGATATCAATCTAAAAGATTGTGTTAACCTATCATATACCATGAATTATTTGATGAAGTTGTACATGTAGTATTACAACCGTAAACAAAGCAAGTATGATATAACACAACAATATTATATATATATATATTCATATAAAAAATAATATATACTTATTGTATAAGTTATAAAATAATTATTATTATTCTATATAGTTTCACAGCCCATAGATTCCGTCAAAAATTGGTGCAACTGGGCCATGCGACGTGTTCACCTTCGAGATCATACTGCGGTCATGCGCTCGCTCTTCGGATAACCAGAAGATTGCCGGCCTGGGATTGCCGGCCATCTCAATGGTAGGGTTTAATGGGATTTAAATGATTTAACCATTTTTCTGAAAAATTGTGGTTTAATGGGATTTAATAGTGATATAGTGGGATGTAATAGGATTTTTTTTTTGCGTATAATGGGATCATACTATGATTTATGTGGAGGTTTCCTAAGCCATGAGATACAATTTTTATATCCAAGTCATGACCATGTTCATATTGAAACCCATCTGGTGACTTGGGATTCCCAGTGACAAAAAAGAACCCCCCAATATGGGGGATGGTTATGGCATTGTTTTAGCCACTAATTATAGGATTATGGGATATATCATGGGATGAGAATTGTAAATAATTCTATAATTTGTATATATATATATATAATATCCCAATTTCATTAAGATGGTGATGGATATTCCAACATTCGCGAGGTGATTTGAAGCTTGCGGTATCTGGACAACTCTATCCTAAGACATGATCCGATCATATAGAAAAAACATGGGAAATCACATGGATGAATACGGATCCAGAGAAACCTCTATTAAAATCGAATGGGGTGAACTCGGCCTCAAGTCGTCTCGCTGGCACCAGGATTTGCTGTGGCAGAAAAGAATTTTTGACTCGCCAAGTACTACAGTAGATGAACCAAATACTTCATGTATTAGTTGGTTCATCCACAATGTCACTAAATGTTGCTGGATTGCCTAAATCTTCAACCAATTTTTGCAATGGGAAAATCATGGAAAATCCAGAAGAACATTGAGGTAGGAATTCAAACTATCTGGGCATGTCTGGGACAAGATTGGAGAATAACGGGCCGTACAAAAAGCACTCCTATCCCTATCCGATCCCATTATGCCCGTTAGTAAATATTCCTAACTAAGCATTGTGATTGTACTGATCCCAACAAGCCACCCCTTTGTTAACCAAACAACATTGAACTATATCCTCATATCATAAAACCCTGTCAAATCACTAGGAATCATGAAGAAATCATAAGAAATCACCCTGTAATAACATGTAATAACCCATCAAACTCGCCCTCATCAATCGTCGATCAAGGCACGTATCAGTGGCACGTGCTCGAACCACGGCCAGTTTCACCCAATCTTGAATCCTCATCAAAATTCGCAGCTGATGCACCGATTCATGCGCAAAAAGTGGAGAGTTCCGCCAAAAAAGTGACTTGCCCCTGGGTAAACTCACATACAAATGCTGAAAATCAACCATGTGTAGACAATTTTCCTGGGAAAACCATGGGTTTTCCACATTTCTGTTGGTTTACCCTAGAGTAATCTAAGTAACACAGAGAAAAGGTAGATTTCACCTGAAAACGGCATGTTTTGCGCTGGAAACTAATCTTCCAACCCCTCATTTGGCAGGTCTATGTTAATAACTCACTTAAGATTCCGGGAAATTACACCTAAGCAGCACAAAAATCGGATTTCACTGACAATGGCAATGGAACATGGAAAAGGAACAACAAAAATCCATGGAATTGGATGATGGGAAAATTTCAACCGGAAAACCCAAACAATTTCATGGTAAAAACCATGGTTTCCGGTTAAGATTTTCCCCAACAAACCAATCCATTGAAAAAACCAATCCACAACACCCTTTCGATACTCTGATGGAGCCATGGAGAACATGACGACTGGATTCGCCTTGCAAAAAATGGAAAAATCCATGGCTAAAAAGGGACACGCTACATAAAAATCATCATGAAACCATTAAAAAAAACAATTTGACTTGCAAAATCGTGCAAACATTGGGGATTTCTACTTGCACATATGGGGATTTCCACTAAAATTTTCCCATGATCCATTTTACTCTGGAAAAAATGGGATGTTTGAGCGCGCCAACTGCAGGCACCCGCAGCGAATGAACCTTCACAAGCCACTCCTCCAAATCTTCCAGGTACCAATCTTTGATACCCACGGCCCTTTTCTTCCGTCATTTTATGTTCCTGTTTACAGCAGATTCAAGTACTAAATGCATCTAAATGCTACCCATCCAGTAGGTTTTAGCTAACATGGACCCTGCCCAATAGTTGGAGGATTATTTTACTCCAAGAAACGCTGGCACCTATTCAGGTTTGTCTGAAAATAGACTAATCCATAATTTCGTGGTGAATCGGCCTTTTCTCAATTTCTAGCAGCCATTTTAAGGGTCTATCACATTCTATAACCCATTTTCAGACAAACTCACGTTAGTATCGTTAGTTGGGGGCATAGGACGGTAACATGTTCGACCACTACAGTAGTACTCGCTACGCTCATCAACCTCCCAGCGACGAGTGGCGGGCCATCTTTGGTTTGACCTTAGAGCTTTTACCAGGGAGCACTGAGGTGTTTTTCCACACATGCAAGGGGCTCGACCAAAAATGAGGTGACAAATACGTCAACAATATGTGAAAGAATCCTTCCCCTAACTGGATGAATGGACCCCCAAATAACACCCTGGTGTTCAGTATTGGACTTTTACTAATGATGGCTTCCCGTATGGAGAGATGTGGAGCAATATGAGCATGGGATTACCAAGATTTCAGCTATGGAAAATGTCAACAGACACAACTCTCGATTTGATATGTCCTTTCCGAATAACGATGGTGATTCTACCAACGAAAGTTGAAAGATTATATAAGAGGATATTGATGTACCAAAAAGAACAGGAAACAATACCAAAACACAGCTAGCGATGGAGGGTGCGTGATATCTGGGAATGGCTGATGTGGCTAACAAATACCTAAAACAACATGGGCAGTATTCACATTAAACAAAAGGTGACAATCGTTTTACAACGAATTTTCCCCGACCACTGATTTTTTTGGATTAGTCACTCTTGACCCATGTGTAGATGTTTCTACAGAAAGTAGTTGTTGTTCCTCTGCAACCATAGAGTTGCATAGAAAACCCACTACGCAACTTTTGGTTTCATCGAACATGTGAACCACAGAAAGTACCCTCTGGTTATGATTAGCATAGCCATGGAAAATGGCCCATTTATAGATGATTTTCCCAGCTATAAACCTCCATTTATTTACGGGATTTTCCATGGCGAACTGTGAGTCATAACCAGATGGTATTTGGTACACGAAATTGCAGGTGGGGTCATACCGCGTTCTCCAATGTAGCCAGGACTTGTTTAGCTAGATCGCTAGATGCATAAGACATGCCATGCCTAGCTCATTCTCCGGGTGTACCTACCTCGTTTTGAAACCTAAATATAGTGTGTATATATATATAGTGTTTTCAACAAACAGGGGTACGCCCCAACTTCGCGTCACCAAGTAAAAGCCGTCACTCATGTGTTGATTCCAAGTTTCATCATATCACTTTACCAAACTTTGATGTACTGAACCAACGCTACACGTAACTGGACTGGCAAGTAACGTTCAAAGACAACTAGTCCTATCTCTATTTCACTTGATCTTTGTATCCAACATAATCAACAAATTGAACATCTACATCTCCATTCAGTCAGATTCACTGGAACATTTAAATACTATCAATTCAGCAAAGCAATCTTATCTTATCCCCAGATCTTATCAGTCGCCCCCAGATCCCTCGAGTAAGTTGACATAGTCAAACATGACATGGAAAACCCACCATTCAATACATTCTCGTAGTTTTCCCATATACCCCTCTTGTAACATAACAATAAAGCATGATATAATTTATGGCAAATATGAAAATCATAGCCCTCTATTTACCACGATTTACCCTCTGGTTATGACTAACATAGCCATGGTATAGATGGCCAATAAAAAAAAGATGGTTTACCTATTAATAGCATGGTGATTTTCCATGGCTATGTTAATTTACCAAAGGGTAGCTATTTACCCTCCATCAAACATGATGGGAACATCCACCATTTAGCTCGATGATTTCCCTATTTCCCAACCGGCTTCAACCGGCATCCAGGGCTCCGGTCACATGCGCCAAACGTCGCCCTTCGAGACTTCATGGGACATCAGCACCTGGATGAAACCAGGAACACCCAGGATGAAAAGCCAACATGACATGAATAAAAACAGGTTCCCATCACTATGCCATGAAACCATATATGAAACCCAAGTATTATTGACTTATTGATCCACACTATTCACATTATAATCACATCAAATATCATATTATATCTATCATCGATGTTCCACTGAAAACCTCCTCATTCATAGCATTTTAGAGTTGATGGCCTCTCAAATGTAGAACTATGTCACCATTTGGGGCATCCAACACAAAAAGGGAACTGGTAGCCGTTTTACCACGAGCATGTGGATCTAATCAACAAAATACCAACAAATTTGAGTGAGTATGCTGGTCCTGGCATACAAATAGCATTTCTCAGTGAGACTGCGTTTCGTTTCTGACAAAGTTGCAAAAACCAACCAGATCAAAGCAGTATCAAACATCGGGGATTGATGTATACTGTATAATCTTCTATATATAGTATATATAGTACGTATACTATTCTACAGCTGATCCGATACATCAGGCATTGATGCTCTGCAAAAAAAGGGGGTTCCCATAAAATGATCAGATTTTTGGTATCGATTTTTGATGGAGGTAGTGCTCGTCCTTTGACACTGGGATCTGGGAAGCACAGTGCTGGCCAGAAAAACTCTGTTCACATCATCAAAATACACAGGAATTACATGGACATTACACCATGCTTTCAATACTAGATTGGTTTAATGACTTGGATGATTTGGGGTACCCTCTGGTAAATATACAAAAAGCTATTGAACATGGCCATAGAAATAGTCGATCGATTTACCCATTAGCATGGTGATTTTCCATATATTTTTCTATGTTCACCAGAGGGTACACCCTATCTGGTTGGTGGTTTCAATCCCTCTGAAAAATATGAGTTCGTCAATGGGAAGGATGACAACCCATATATGAAATGGAACATAAAAAAATGTTTGAAACCACCAACCAGGTATACCCTCTGGTAAACTAACATAACTATCGAAAATCACCATTTATAATGGGAAAATCCACTATTTCATGGAAAATGTTTGAAACCACCAACCAGCTATTTTAGGACCTCCAATATGTTTTCATCCACGAATGGTCATCCCATCTTCGCCTTACCGCCGTCACGCTGAACCACTTGCACTTTCCCATCCTGGCGCAACTGCCGCTGAACCATGATTGGATCAAACACGTAACCGGCCTGGCCCCTGAACACCAACCTCAAAGTAAAAAACCGTTCGATTTATAACTATGTATATATATATATTATATATATATGTATATTATATATTATATTATATGTATCTGTATTACACAATACACATGCAATGCATTGCACATATCACTACATCCCAGCTACCCTGCCTCCGGCACTACGAAGGTCTTGTCGTGGGAGCCATACTCTTCCGCTTTTGCGGCCATGAGTCCCACGTTACTCGTGGCACCTGCGCCGCGGCGACAAAAATGTCTGGCGGAATCACTTGGACGGGCTGCGTCGAAAGCTTACCTTTGGCAAACTAACATAACTATGGAAAATCATCATTTTTAATGGGAAAACTCACTATAAATTGCCATTTTCAATAGCTACGTTAAATTACCAGAGGGTAAGTGATCATGTTCATTAACTTTTCGTGACTGTTTTCAAGGTCTATGTTATAGTGTGTTAACAAGTCAAACCAACTGTCGAATGGCTTTCTCACGAGCTCGCTGATCGATGGTGTTCAACTTGGCATAAGGATGCATTGCGGATGCATAAGGTATTTCATAGTTGCGAGTAGGGGGCTATTGCACATTAAACAAAAACACTAGACGATAATCTATTGATAGCAAAACACAAATACAACGACACAAATTGCTTTGGGTAACTGATATTTACTGGGTCTATTTATTTGAGTGTCAAATGGGTAAATAACACCCTATAAATAGATAAATCCGTTCATTTTTTGCTTTTGACCGAGTAAATATCAGGTACCCAGAGTGCCATTGTACGAGCAAACGCTGATTTCACCAGCACAAAAAAAGCGACCAAACCAGTTTTGGACCATTTCCCTACCGGAATCATCATCCCAAATATGGATTAAACATGTCCATATATTGAAGATATGACATTCATATAGAATCATATATATATATAATATGTAAATATAATATGTATAAAATATGTATATATAATATGTATATAAAATGATATAAATACATACCTGTATAATCATTCATATAGTTGAAAGCGACCGACCAGCCAGTGGATCCTGGCGCAGCTTGAGAGCACGCGCTGGCGCCTATCTTGGCTGCGTCCAGCTTGCCATTGGCCTGGCAGTCCTTGATGACGACATCGTAGATCCCGGAATAGCACCTAGCTCCAGACTGCGCATGGTCTCCGCAGGGTTAGGGTTTAGGGTAGCTTAAGGCGTAATGGTGGCAGAAACAAACCATGCCACCCAGAAGAAATGGCAGAAATGGCACTTAAGAAGTTCAAGAACCCAGAAGCAGTGGTAGTTTCATACCATATAAACATCCCATATGGCACTTAACTACCCAGTTTAACATACCATAAAACAAACATATACCACAGTACGCAAATTTCATCACGGCTAAAACTGGAAGAACTTCGAGAAATCTGACGGATGTTGAAATCCTGGGTGACCCAGAGTAAAAAGATTAGCATCACCAATGAGAAGGGAGATAGACATCATAATGTTGACCTACGATTTTTCAATCCCCCCTAAATAAAGCTATACTATTTATAAATCATAGGTGAACATTAATATGAAATCATTTCAGTAATGACCAGATAGAATTGCAGGATATTGCAGGAAACAACCAAACACTGGTGATGATAGTGATGATAGTGAATGACACATACTCAAAACATCGCCAAAGGCACCGGTCTGGTATGACGAACTTTGCATCACACAAGGTGTCCTCCTGTGGAAAGAAAGGTTGCCCTGGTGAAGAAACTGCGATTCACGGTGCATCTCTTTTTGGCATCTCAAGTCGTGGATAGGTTTAGTGGGTTAGAATACAATTGATACAAACATATATAATCATGTGTATATATATATATATATCCCATTACATCATTTTTTCATTATATAAGCCCTCATAACTTGGGATGCATTGGGATATAATCTGGATAAGAACAAGCGTTCAAAAATCAGCCCAATGCACACATTGATGCAAACCTATAGTCAGGAACCGCGTTCAAAAATAAACCTATATCCTATATTATATTATATAAACCTATCTAAACCTATATGCACTTACATAAACCTATATAAACCTATACAAACCTATATACACGTATATAAACCTGTATAAAACCAATATCATAAACCAGCATCAAATGGGTTCCATGAAGAATAAGAGGTCTAAAACCACACAGTCGGTCTGTTTCGAACATCGACGTAAACAGTTGGGCTGGTCTTCTATGGATCCTAGGTCACCAACGGTGGGCGTGACATCGATGTCGCCGATGTCTGCCGCCAATACCATTGGTTCGGCCAAGCGTCTGGCAAGATCGCAAATGATCGCCAGAAGAAGGCTAAGAATCTGTCTATTTGACAATTGCGTCAATTGGCTCGCATCCATCGCTCACTGAAAGAAAAAGGGATTGAATCAAATAAACCTATATATAAACCAAACTATAATATAGAAATATAAACCTATATAGACCTATATAAACAAATATAAACCTATATTATAAGCCTACATTATAAACCCATATTATAAACTTATATTATAGACCTATATTATGGACCTATCTAACCCTATATAAACTTATTTAAACCTATATTATAGACACATACTATAAACCGATATTATATTTACAATATTGTAACATATTACAAACCTATATTACAAACCTATATTACAAACCTATACTGTAAACCTATATTGTACATCTACATTACAAACCTATATTATACTGTATTGAGATACAGCAGGTGTCAAAAGTTTTGCTCCAAACCTCTGGAAAGTGCACGCATGTTGCCATGCCAACATATTTGCATTACTTACGGGGGTATCGCTCTTCAAGGTTCCCTATCGCTCCCCACAGGAAATCACAAATTTTGAAAAGTGACGGCGGCTGAATACAACATCTCTACATACCATCTTTTGACCCTTGCTCATATAAACACGTATTAACCTATATAAACCTATATCATAAACCTATATTATAAACCCATATTATAAACCTATATTAAGGACCTATATAAACCTATATTATAGACCTATACAATAAACCACTAGGGAAAAAACACATTATAATCCTATATTGTAAATCTATATTACAAACCTATATTATACTATATACACCTATATTCTAATATAAAAGCCTATATAAACCTATCTAAACGTCAACCAAAGGAAAACACATCCACTTCTTTGTTCGGGATCTTTGGTCTTCCCAATCGCTCCTTGGTCCACATGCGCCCGGCATCGCGCACTGCGGCAGCCATGGAAGCGTCCACAATGACGTCAGATGGAACCTCGGAGGGGACCATGGTCAGCTTCAAGGAGATACCCTCTGGTAAATGTTTACATAACGAACTGGAAAATCACAATTTTTCATGGGAAAATTCACGAAAAATGGTGATGTTCCATCGTTTTTTGTATGTTTACCAGAGGGTAATATATATATATACATACCCTGTGTTTATTTAACGTAGCTATGGGAAATCACCATGTTTAATAGGTAAATCATCTTAAATCATCTATAAATGGGCCATTTTCCATAGCTATGTTAAACAACCAGAGGGTGTATATATGTATACATAGCTGGGGTATAATCATCATATAACTACCCATATTGGGAAAATGAAAAACGTAGAGACTTGGAGAAGAATGAATATGCTATAAAACTTGCAGGATAATCCCAGGGCTCGTGGTTGCTAACGATAGGTCACATAAGCCATGTATAAATGGGATAATCCACTCAGGGATGATCGAATCTTATTAGAAAACATGCTTTGGCCACGTTTAGCGGCCCCCATTCACATCCATTTTATCATCTGAATCACCCTTATAGCCATATATCACTGTACATTCCCTTACACAAACTTCATGTAGGATATGTATTGATATGTAAGGTGGATGGCGAATCCATAAATCATGTAAAATATAATATATATATATATATATAATTATAAATATATATTGATATATATATATATATTATTAACTATATATATATATATGAATAGTTAAATTTATATATATATGAATAGTTATATATATATATATAAATATGAATAGTTATATATATATGTATATATGAATAGTTATATATATATATGAATAGTTATATATATTTATATATGAATAGTTATATATATAGAGTTATATATATATATATATTTTTCCCTGTAACACATCGATCTCTGCCACCCGCGTCACGTTTTCCGCGAAAAACGAAAACTCCGCCATGCCAGCCATGCCACGTGCAGGTTGGTGATGCCACGGCGACTGTCCACGTAGGCCAAGGGCGGCCGTTTCTCGTAGCAGGCCATGAGATCCTTTTCCACCTCCGCCTACAGCCACGGTGGAACCCCCCTGGATGGGATTTTCACAATCCCAAGGCTATTTCGATTGAATTGATGGAAAACGAGATAAAACCACCTAAAGGTACAATAAACTAATTATATATATATATGTATTAGATAGACATATATATATATATATATTTATTTATATATATATATAATTATTTATATATATATATTGATACCAAATCAACCTATGAAAATATAGGAATCTTGGAAAAACATGTCCAGGTCATGATCAGTTGGTGCAGTTGGCCATGATCAAAGTGCAAAGCACCAAAAACAGGGTTACAACTACCAGAATGTCCAAGAATCATGGCATCAATGTGGAAGTGCAGATGAGCAAAAGAACCAAAGAAAAAATACAACAATAAATGGGCAGGGAACCATTCTGGAACCAATCATTGATCAATTGGTGCACAACACCTCTTTCGACTCCCACATGTGGGATCGCTCAACATGGTTTTGTCTTACCAGGATTTGAAGACATCGAAAAAACATCTGCTGCGGTTTCCTTTTTTGATTTGCATCCCAATTGTTATTTGTTGATGATTGGCAATAGTTTCAGTCTTCTTTGTTGCCATCCGAATGTTCATTGTTTGTTTGTCCAAATCGTTAGTGAATCACCTTTTCTTATTGGTCACATAATCTCCTCAACTTCAGTTAGGTTCCATGTTGTTTTTAGTCAGAACATGTCCACATTGTTGAGGGATACATCGCTCAAATTCAACATGCACCCCAAAAAGTCACCCTCTTCCAAACCCATGTCTGGGGAGAAAATGTTTGGATTATTGAAGCCGGGTTGTCAACATACAACAAATTAGTTGGTCAATGTCCGTAACTGCTAGATGATATCCTTGTCTTGGTGGTTTATTGATGGCCATTCCATCCGGTGGAAACAAAGACCATGGTTTTCGATACGGAAAAAAATGCGCCATTTGGGAGTATACCCCATGTATCCCCATTTTCAGACACACCCAAATTATGTTTAGCCGCCCACTGTCATTGCCTCCTTTGGGTGTCCCTTGATCTTCACATAGACATCACCCACCTCAGTAGCAGGCCGGCGGATGCAGGCGGCGTGAAGCTTTTGTGTCTTAACCACCCACCATGGAGCAGTGGAAAATCATGTCGGATTGCATATGATGCCACGAATCTTGGATATAATATATTAGAAAACATTATGAAAACAATCATCATCATGTTCTTTTGATATTCTAATCAGGATAAAAATGAGGAGGATGATGATGATGATGGTGGTGGTGCTGCTGCTGCTGCTGTTGCTGCTGCTGGTGGTGCTGGTGCTGGTGCTGGTGCTGGCGATGATGATGATGATGATGATGATCATCATGATGGTGATGATGGTGACAATGATTAAGATTAAAATTGCGATTATGATTCCGTGAAACGTGTCAGAATGTCTTTACTTGAGGCCGGGGGTGGATGACGAAAGCTAGCGGGGCAGGAGAAAGAAGGAAGGGAAGAGGTGAGTTGCGGAGGGACTGTCAGCATCGTGTCGCGGCATTGTTCGTCCCAACGAGGATGCAACAATGATATATTGATATATGATATAAAACAATGATATATATGGGGGAAGGGGCAGGGGGGGGCCCTTTCGCGGGAAAAATCACGTGATGTCCTTGGGGAGCCCCGGAATACGTGCTAAAGCAAGAAGACTCTAGCGAGCTGACGCTAGCTTTCGTGATAATGACAATAATTGCCAATAATGATAAAATGTAATTGAATAACGATGATGATGATGATGATGATGATGATGATGATGATGATGAATGATGAATGATGAATGATGAATGATGAATGATGAATGATGAATGATGATGATGATGATGATGATGATGATGATGATGATGATGATGATGATGATGAATGACGATGACGATGACGATGACGATGATGACGAGGACGACGATGATGATGATGATGATGATGATGATGATGATGATGACGATGATGATGATGATGATGATGATGACGATGATGATGATGACGATGACGATGACGATGACGAGGACGATGACGAGGACGACGATGATGATGATGATGATGAAGATGATGATGATGACGAGGACGAGGACGAGGACGATGGAGAGGACGATGACGATGACGATGATGATGACGATGATGATGATGATGATGATGATGGTGGTGATGGTGATGGTGGTGGTGGTGGGGGAGGGGAGGGGGGGGGCCCCCCTTTCGCGTGAAAAATCACGTGATGTCCTTGAGCAGCCCCCCCAATACTTGCTAAAGCAAGAAGACTCCAGCTAGCTGACGCTAGCTTTCGTGATTTGCACACATTGACCAATGAATTCTTGTGATGTTTTTTCTGTTTGAGGAAAGGAGTCACGTGGATCCCCATGACCCACATTGTGCCCGGTTCCCTAAGGCATGGCTGGTCAAAAACAAGACATGTAGAACCCAAGAAGGCTTGAGGTATGTCAAGACAAATGGGAATGTTGCCAGCAATACCTGATTCATGTAATCAAAAAACATTTTGCTTCACAAAATCAAGGAATCCAGAACTGATGGTAAAAATGTGCGATGGCCAAACTGAAACATGACACGTCTGCAATGTGGCTTTAACCAGTAATTGGCTGTTGAAAACCAAACCGAATTGGAGTTTTTTTGGGGGGAGGATTATCACATGGTTTTGTCCAGTTTGTTGTATAATTCTTATCAGTTTGTTATGACATATGGGTTTGTCATCAGTTTCCCTACAAAAAAAAATGCAACTTTGAGGGTATACCGGTATACTCCGTTGTTAAACAAAAACAAATATCATCGGATTGAAATGTCCCACTATATCCAGTGAATAAGTATCCCAGTTCTGTTTAGCGGTTAAATCGCTGAAATCTAAAATTCCACCATGTTTGATGGAGATAACACCCCATTTTGATGGACTTCAAACCCCATGTTGCCAATCCACTGAATATCAGTGTATACAAAATATAATTTTCATTTTACCATCGATATGTGCCAATTATATCTTATATATCCATACCCATCAAACATATTTCAATATATTTCACATCCATATCAAATGATCCATATGTTCCATATGTTCTTTATGTTTGCATAGTTTTCTTCTGTTTTCATCTTTTCATGTGTTCCCATTGTATCTAGTATCTTAGATATATCCTATATATATATATATCCCATGACACACACACACCCCACATCCCCAGCTTCGTCAAATGACACCGTTATTGGGATTGACCCCGAGCTCTTGGAAGAGCGCGGCGTGTTTTTCGAAGGCGTCTTTGTAGAAGACCTGGACGGCGGCTTGGTTGTAGAGAGCGGATAGATTAGAGTGCTGACCCTCAGTATAATGGGTATATGTACACATATATACATATATTTGTATGTACAAATATATATATATATATATATGTATATATAACTGTATATGTATATATATATATACCTAGATAGTGATAGATAGATATTCAATACTGTCTGTATGTTTGTATGTAAGCAAGTAAGTATGTAGGAGTAAAGCTATATAAGTATGTAAGTATGTGAGGACGTAAGTATGTAAGTATGAAAGTATGAAAGTGTGTAAGTATGTATGTAAAAAAGAAAGTAAGAAAGTTCGTATGTAAGAAAGAAAAAGGAATGTATGTATGTATGTATGTATGCATGCGTGTATGTATGAAGTAAGTAAGTAAGTAAATAAATAAGTAAGTAAGCAAGTATGTATGTATGTATGTATTGTATTGTACTGTATTGTATTGTATTGTATTGTGTTGTATTGTATTGTGTTGTATTGTATTGTATTGTATTCTATTGTATTCTATTGCATTGTATGTATGTGTGTATGTGTGTATGTGCGTATGTGCGTATGTGGGTATGTGGGTATGTGTTGTGTGTGTATGTGTGTATACGTGTATTTGTGTATATGTGTACGTGTGCATGTGTGCATGTGTGCATGTGTGCATGCGTGCATGTGTGTAAGCATGTTTGCATGTGTGTAAGCATGTATGCATGTATGCAAGTATGCATGTATGCATGTATGTGTGTGTATGTATGTATATATGTATGTATTTATCTATGTATGTATGTATGTGAATGTATGTGAATGTATGTGTATGTATGTGTATGCAAGTGTATGTATGTGTATGTATGTGTATGTATGTGTATGTGAATGTATGTGTATGTGAATGTATGTGTATGTATGTGTATGTATGTGCATGCATATGTATGTATGCGTATGTATGTGTATGTATGTGTATGTATGTGTATGTATGTGTATGTGAATGTATGTTTATGTTTGTGTATGTATGTGTATGTATGTGTATGTATGTGTATGTGTATGTATGTGTATGTATGTGTATGTATGTGTATGTGTATGTATGTGTATGTATGTGTATGTATGTGTATGTGTATGTATGTGTATGTATGTGTATGTACATGTACGTGTGTGTATGTGTATGTATGTGTATATATATGTATGTCTTTGTATTTATATGTAAGTATATCTATATGTATTATATGTATGTATATGTTTGTGTACGTATGTATGTGTATGCATGTATGCATGCATGCATGCATGCATGCATGCATGTATATATAATATATATATATATACACGTATATGTACCCATGCATAACCAACAGCCTCAGCTGGAAGGACTTGAGGGATTTTTTGTTTCGATACAGCAGAATATGGGGTGTTCATTCGGGTTCCTGCGATGGTGCTAGCCCTAAATCATCCATTTTCATCGGATTTTACATGAGTAATCAATCGAAATCATCCATTTTCATCCGATTTTCCATGATTAACTGGACTGTGCTCTGCTTTGTGCCTTTGTGTTTTGTCATTTTTTCTCCTGTCAGTGTGCTTGGATGCAACGAACCAACTTGCCAACTGGAGGCCTATCAGATCACCTGCCTAGGTAGGTCGACTTCTTTCATTTTTGCGTGCTGCAGTCTTCGAAACGAAGTTTTTCAAAGCACCGCCAGTTGCACCTCCAGCACCGCCTCCGCGGTCAGCCAGATCACCAAGCAATGATCCGCTTGTTCCTTCACGTACAGTGGGAACATCAGCCAATACACCTCCATGGCGTTTGCGTGAGAGAGGTCGCCAACGATCTCAGACACCTGTTAAGCGCAAAAAAATGCAGCTTGAAGTACCAAGTTTCCTGTGTGGGCGGGCCCACCCAAAAGACCCCAGGAAGTGCCAAAAATTGAAGCCAAAACGCGGGAAATAACGCAATTTTCCGAGACTTGGGGTGGCTTTTTGTCAAGGCCCAAACCAAGATGAAATTTACAAGCTTGAAGGTGCAAAAACGAAGAAATTCTCCGAGACTTTCGTTGCAGTCCTCAAAACAAACCTGTATTTATCTATCATGTATCTATAAACAAAGTCTCCTATCCAATTAAATGCATCTTCTATCTATTTATCGGACTGTCTATCTATCCTTTAGAGATCTTCGTGTTCACCAGCATTTGACAAGATATAATTTCCTTTTTGTTTGGGGGGGGGCAGGGCGGTGAAACAAATACAAACCCAAAAATCTCCGAGACAGATGTTTGAGAAGGGTTTTAATTTCGGGATGAGGCGTTGCATGATGTATAGCGCTTACCTTGGGGAGTGCCTTGGCCCCTTTGTCTGTGGAGGCCAGAAACTATTTCTTAAACGAACCCAATTTACAGAAACTATTTCCTAAATCAACCCTAAGTTGGGAAACTATTTGAAACTATTTCTTAGATAAACCCAATTTACAGAAACTATTTCTTAAATCAACCCAATTTGCAGAAACTATTTCCTAAATAAACCGAAGTTTTGGAAACTTTTGAAAAATATCCAAAAAATACATTAATAAAAAACACTAAAAAAGTAATTCAAGTTACGCCTTCTAGGGATTGGTTTGAAACGGTTTGAAACGGTTTCGCACTATTACCTAGCAAGTAGCGGGAAACGGGTTGAAACGGTTTCGGACTATTTGCTAATTAGCCATTCTCAGAAACTATTTGAAACTATTTGAAACTATTTGAAACTATTTGCAACTATTTGCAGTTTTTGCCAGGGTGAATTAGCAAATAGTAGGAAACGGTTTCGGACGGTTTCGGACTATTACCTAGCAAGTAGCGGGAAACGGTTTGAAACGGTTTCTGTGATACCCTTACTCTGCCTTAAATCATCAAACAAGACAATATACCAATAAAGATAAATAAAACCTAAGTTGACAAATATAGACACATATAGACACATTATGACATATTGAAACTCCTTACAGATTGAAAAGGAAGAAAGAAACAGTGACTGATTCTGAGATGAGGAGTCAAAGAACATACAACGAAACAGAATGAACATAGAAGGAAACAGAATGAAGGGTGCCTGCGTGGCAGCCTCTCTCTCTCGGTGAGAACATGGCTCACTTGTCTGGGGCGATCTCTGGACTTTAAGTGATTGACTGCTATCCTTGTCCAATGGTTGGGATTGGCAAAAGCAATCCTGGTTTTGTAAATGGTTTCTGGGTTTGGGGCCCAGATTAAGAAATAGTTTCTAGGATTCAAGAAATATTTAGGAAATAGTTTCCAGGATTTAAGAAATAGTTTCTGGGATTTAAGAAATAGTTTCTGGGATTTAAGAAATAGTTTCTGGGATTTAAGAAATAGTTTCTGCGATTTAAGAAATAGTTCTGGGATTTAAGACATAGTTTCCAGGATTTAAGAAATAGCTTCTGGGATTTAAGAAATAGTTTCCTTTCATATTTACCTCTTAGGAAGGTTAAGCTGGTAGGCTCCGGACGAAACCGGACCCCCCTGGCTCCCGCGACAGACCTTGACAAATAGAGAAAAGTTCAGGCACACACCAGTCCGGAGTTTTGGGGGAAACCCCTGACTTGGGTATCCTCTGAGGTGTCTTAAATGCCATGTGGCAAAGGCCTGCTAACACCATCCCCCAACTCACCCGCAAAGGCTATCAGCCACATGGTTTTGTTTGGGGAGCATTTTTTTTGATCCCACAACTTGTGGGTATCGCGTGTGGAATTATTCGCGGCGTTGTATGGTGCATTTGGCAAAAACTGCGCTGGGACAGGGTATGTGTTTATGCTGCTGTTTGACACACCCTTTCCTGGATTGAAACAGCATTTCAGCTGGTATGGCGCGATAGTACTCCCAATTGGATTCTAGACGATTTCAAGTTTCAAGCGTCAGCAGTTTCAGTGTGGTGAGCCATGGGTGAAGGAGGCTCTAGTACTATTAAACTGGCATGCGCGGTAAAGACATTAGTTCTTTCTCACCACAAACTACCATTGGCAAATGCGTGTTCCAAGATTGACCAGGTTTGCCCTGACAACATGGTCAATATCAACTTTTACTTGCAAATATTACCCCTTTGATTCAAGTAATGGTTTCTGGGAAATCAACATGATTTAGCAAATGGTTTCTACATGTTCTACTTTACTTGAAAAAAGTTTCTACATATCCTACTTATTTAGCAAATGGTTTCTAGTATTTAGCAAATGGCTTCCAGAATTTGACAAATAGTTTCTAGTATTTAGCAAATGGTTTCTAGTATTTAGCAAATGGCTTCTAGTATTCAGCAAATGGTTTCCAGTATTCAGCAATTAGTTCCCAGCATTCAGCAAACAGTTTCCAGCATTTAGCAAATAGTTTCAGTATTTAGCAAATAGTTTCTAGTATTTGGCAAATGGTCTCTAGAATTTAGCAAATGGTTTCTACCTGTGCAAGAAATAGTTTCTGGAATTTACAGAAATGGCAAATAAAGAAGCCAACGCACTCCACAATGCATACCCATCAAGAAAGTTGAAGGTTTCAGGGAGGAATGACAGCCAACCTAGGGCTGTAAGAGCCAATTTTTTCCAATGCTTGACTGTAAGAGTCAAGGGCTGTAAGAGCCAAATTGTTCCAATGCTTGACCGTAAGAGTCAAGGGCTGTAAGAGCCAAATTTTTCCATGGGCCAATGAAAAAGCGACAAGAAGAACGAAGAAGCTTGACGTCAGACAGAACATGCCCTGCCTCCCCTTCCGCCCATCCAAGCTCGGCTTTGAGCCGCGCAACTTCCTGCGCATCTGCGCTCTTTTGCTTGGCAGCTCCATCCTGTTGCGCGGCCAACTCCTTCTGGTAGTATTGTCGCCAGTGTCTGTCGCTGCAACTCGTGCTGCAGCGCTGACACCTTGCCCTTGCTTTGCTCATGTTGTTGCGCTGTCTGCTCCAGCGCTGCCGCCGTTTGCTGCTGTTGTTGCTTCTATTCTTGCAACTCGTGCTGCAGCACTGCCACCTTGTTCTTGATTCCCTCATGTTGCTGCATTGAATCCAGCAGCATTGCCTCCGTTTGCTGTCGTTGCTGCTCCCTCTGCTGCAGCGTGTGCCCGCGCATCTGCAGTTGGTATTGGGTTTGTTGCTGCAGCCGCTCTTGTTGGAGCTGGTGCCCGAGGCCAGCATAGTTCTGCCGCTGGATGTCCGCATTCTCCCGCAAGATCTTGTTCTGCTCCGACAACTGCTTGTACTAGTAGAACTCGCGTCTGTCCTGCGGCCACCGCCGGTTTTTCCACCAGTCGTCTGGTGGGTCTGATTCCATTTCCGGTGGCAATACCACCACCGCAGGATCCAAACCCCAGTTCCCACCGCCTGTTCTGCCTCGTGGCTGTAGCAACCCATTGCCACTGGGCTTCGGTGGCCATGAAATGGGCCAAAACCTGCTGTCCTTGCTGCCATGCCTGTGGGCCTTGTGCTGCTGCGCCTTGCTGGTGGGTTTGTAGGCTGGCCTGGTGCTGTCCTTGCTGACATTTCTGCTGGGCCTTGCTGGGGGTTTTGCTGGGGGCCCAAAAACCCGGGGGGGCTGTATTGGCGGATGTTTCGGCGGGGTTTATGGGCTGCCCTGGCCATTGGCGCCTGCTGGCGGTGGGTATTTTGGCGTAGGCTGCATTTGCTTCGGCAGGGACGTCATTGCACTGCGCCCGCGCTGTCGGCGATCGAATTTGAAAAAATGGGACGGGTATGGAATTGAATCTTGTCCTGGAATGAAACCTTGCTTTTGAAATTGTCAGAAGTTGTCAATGTGAGCTGAACTGCTGAACTGTTGAACCCTCTTGTTCCTACGTCAGATCATCAAGTCTTAAACTGTCTTAGCAATGCTTAGCAACCCCCATCACTGGGATGACACAGCCGCGAAGCAGAAAGTTGTCAAGAGCTACAGCTCATCCCTGGCCAAACAACGCAAAGAATCTCCAACAAGCATGGTAAACATCAAGGAAGGTCAGAATGAATAAGAGCTCTTACAGCTCAAGAAACGCACAAGGTGCAGCAGACCAACAAACTCAGTTGCAGACAAGCTGTAGCAGCGTAGCGGCGAACCTGGCCACCAACCAAATGAGCGAAACTATAAATCTGTAGGTGGGAAGAAGGCAAAAACAAATTGATCGCAGAGGGCTCTTACAGCCGCAACTGGATGCAACTGCTACCACGCGCACACGCACACACACACACGCACTTTTTCCGTTCCTTCTTCTGCTCATCTTCACTGCAGGGTCGCTCCCAGTCCCAGCGTCTCATGTCCTTTGGGCTGGCTTCTTGGCGATTCGTTTCTTGTTGGCGGTCTTCTTGGGATTCATAGCCTCTTTGGCGGGCTTCGTCAGATCCACCCACACCACAGCCCCTGGATGGTGATGGTAAGGGGGCCGACTGTAGCGCACAGCCTCTGACAACACCCATCCATGGACATCCTGGTAGTTCGCCTCGTCCCTTGGAATGAGTGAGGCGCAACATCCTGCAACTCACCTTCAACTTTGCGGCAAATCAAGTAGCTGTCGAAGATCTTCACCTCGCCCCACAGCTGCTTTGTGCCGCTAATGGCCACAGCTACCAATCCTCTCTTCCTGCAAGCTTTTGACCGCAGCTCGAGCGTCTTCTCCCTGGATAAGATCTTGGCCGCCCATTCCGGTTTGATGACCAGGGCATACGTAGGCGTTGCGAGAGCCGTGTGGGGGCCGCGGGCAAGGTATCAGGACAAGAATATTGGTGGGAGACAGCTCCATTTGAGGCAGAAATTGCAGACCCCTGCAAAATTTAAGAATGTCTTTCCTCTAGACGCCTATGGGGTAAAAAGGCGGCTACCCAGTCCAAAACATGATGAAACTAACCACTCCACTGGTTGTTCAATAAAAGATGCATATCACATCCGTGGCTCTTACAGCCATCGTGATGTGTGTTTCACTGGTTGTTTCAAGCAGTTCATGTCTGTCTGTTTTCAATTTCAATGGCTGTAAGAGCCACCAATCAAGAAAGACCATCCATCCTGCTTGTGAATGAAGCTTCTCCGGCCTTCTCAGCAACGCAGGCTGCGTTTGAAAGAAGATCACCTCGGCCGGTGCCAAGGTCAGGGCAGGGGGCAGTCAGCTGTAATCAACAAACAATGCATGATGGCTGTAAGAGCACGTTGTCAACAAACAGTGCATCATGGCTGTAAGAGCCAAGAGTCAGAATATAATGCATGATGGCCGTAATACGTTTCCAGTTTGGACATTCTGGGTCTTGTGCATCATCGCTGCAATCAATGCCAAAATTGCCCTTCCACGACCTTGAGCCAAAGCAAATTGGCAGGTCCATTTCACACGCTGAAGTATGACCGAGTCCCAATCTTTCCAAGATCTTAGCCTGGAGTTAACTGTTTGATGACTTGCTTTGAGCTTTAATTGATTTGATTCTTACAATGAAGACAGGGAAAATGTTGGCTCTTACAGCAGCCCTTGACTCTTACAGTCAAGCAATGAAAAAATCTTGACTCTTACAGTCAAGCCGTGAAAAGTTGTGGCTCTTACGGCCCTTGACTCTTACAGTCAAGCCGTGGAAAAATTTGGCTCTTACAGCCCTTGACTCTGACAGTCAAGCATTGGAAAAATTTGGCTCTTACAGCCCTTGACTCTTACAGTCAAGGATTGGAAACATTTGGCTCTTACAGCCCTTCACTCTTACAGTCAAGCATTGGAAAAATTTGGCTCTTACAGCCCTAGGTTGGCTGTCATTCCTCCCTGAAACCTTCAACTTTCTTGATGGGTATGCGCTATACACCGTGCAACGCCTCATCCCGAAATTAAAACCCTTCTCAAACATCTGTCTCGGAGATTTTTGGGTTTGTATTTGTTTCACCGCCCTGCCCCCTCCCAAACAAAAAGGAAATTATATCTTGTCAAATGCTGGTGAACACGAAGATCTCTAAAGGATAGATAGACAGTCCGATAAATAGATAGAAGATGCATATATAATTAGATAGGAGATTGCATTTGTAGATAGATGATAGGTAAATGCAAGATCGTTTTGAGGTTTTGCACCTTCAAGCCTTGTAAATTTCCTCTTGGTTTGGGCCTGGTGTTTTGGCTTCAATTTTTGGCACTTCCTGGGGTCTTTTGGGTGGGCCCGCCCACACAGGAAATTTGGTACTTCAAGCTGCATTTTTTTTGTAGGAAGTCTCGCGGAAAAACTTCGTTTCGAAGACTGCAGCACGCAAAAATGAAAGAAGTCGACCTACCTAGGCAGGTGATCTGATAGGCCTCCAGTTGGCAAGTTGGTTCGTTGCATCCAAGCACACTGACAGGAGAAAAAATGACAAAACACAAAGGCACAAAGCAGAGCACAGCCCAGTTAATCAATCGAAATCATCCATGTTCATCGGATTTTCCATGATTTTCCATGAAATAAAGCATCCCGCTCTTGGGGTATAGCCATTGACTCACCTTTTTGAGGCGAGGCGCCTCTACGCAATGCCCGAAGAGCACAGGGTCCGACACTTTCCTTGGCGCATCGCTTCACCCAACCAGTGAAGTGACAACCCCTGGTGACTGGAATTGACTGTAAATTGAAAGGCAATGAGTTAACAACTGGTTGGTGGTTGAGCCACTCCTCTGAAAAATATGAAAGTCAGTTGGGATGATTATTCCATATACTGTACTATGGAAAAATAAAAAATGTTCCAAACCACCAACCAGATATATTAATTTTGACTGGGACTGGGATTAACTATTAATATTTATAGTTAGTATTCCCATTCCAATTAGTTGATAGTGGATTAACGATAAATAACCCACTTAACACTGAAACTAACTCCTTTGCTCAAACTCTGAGGGCTCAAACGTGCCAAGTCCATAACGATTCACACTATGCGTCCAAGCTCTTTCACGTGGTACGTCTCACGGTTTTTTCTCACTGATGTTGCAAATGTGGCCTTCTGATACCCCTTCATCCGAGAAGAGTTGATGTGCCACAGACTCAAGCACCAAAGCCTCTCGTCCAGTAAGGTCTTCTGTTTGTTTATATGTTTGTGTTTGTCTTTTGTCTTGAGTTGTCTGTTCCTAGTTGTTGTTGTTTTTTGGTGTTTTTTTTGTTTATCTGCTGTGTTTTGTTTTGTTCACAATCATTAGTGTAGGCTCCCCCCAAAACAGTTAATTGGGAGTCATTAAATGACAAAAGTATTGCCAGGAAAAAGGTACTCACGAATCTAAGGAATGATGTTTAACTCCTTTGAAACTACTTTCACGTTCCTTTGTTGGACTCAAGGAGTAGACTTCATTAACATTAAATAATGCCTTTCTTTCTTTTTGTTCATTCATTCTCCCCTCTGTTTCTCCCTCCTAAGTTTGCTTGCCATTCCCTTCTTTCTTTCCTTTCATCCTTCGTTCTCGTTTTCTGTTTGTCGACTTCTTTCCTTCTTCGATCGTGATTTCTTCTTTCTCTCTATTCCTTTATTTCTTCTGTTCTTCCTTTCAATTTCCCTTTATGTCCTTCTTTTTCTTCTTTAACCCTTGGCATTCTGTGAAAGGGGCCCTAAGTAAGATGCACAAAGCTATAGTAAAGGAGCGGCGCATTGTGGGATTCAAAGAAAAATCTAAGCACGGTCCTTGCCCCTGCACTACCATCCCAACAATTCCATTGAGTATCTGGGTAGTTCATTGGGCAACCCTTTCAAAAGTTGTTTGGGTGTTAGTTTTCTTGAGGGTAGTAAAGGAACTGATCCTTTGGGAGACCTTAGCATTCTCTAGAAGCTGCCCCAAGTGAGATACACACAAAGCAATAGTAAGGTGTCGCCTTTTGGAATTCATGAGAACATCTCAGCAAAATCCTCCTGAAGCAAAAAAATGATATGGGGGATTCTGAGGGAACGTATCTAGTCACCAACCCATCAATTTCTGCGAATGGAAAAATTATTTGGCTCTTTTGTCGGCTATGCACTAGCCCTGCGCCAGTCGATCTACAACAACTACAAGGTGGTGCCCCCCAAGTTTTAAGTTGGTTTATAACCCCCATGAAGACTAGTTCGATATATCGAAAGTTACTTTTCCCAATCTCCCTCCAGCTCAAGGGCACGCGTCTCCTCAAGAAAACTGCTGTTGCCTCAGGTTGACCATAATTATCCGGTTGGGGTTATATATGTATATGCATATATGCGTAGACTGCCAGTCTTCTATTTTTATCTCATATGGTGCCAGAATTATAATCAATAATTGGATTTGTTTGAACTACAAAGGCTGCATCGGAAAATCCATCGGTCCCGTACAGATTTACCATTCCCTCGTTACGTGCTCACAGTGTCTTGTTACGCTCTCAGCGCTCGTTACGCGCTCAGCGCCTCGTGGCTGGTTCATTGTTTTTAAAGAAAATACGAAAAAAAAACTTCGAACAAAATGAGCCAGCTACATACCCTTGAGCTAGGTCGGTGTCTGTCATCAACCTGGCCAATACATATTATGTATTCGTGTTCTACTTTCACATTCGCTTGCCAGCTCAAAGTGACGTAGCAGGCTCATTTTTTTCAATGTTTTTTATCTTTTTTTTCGTTCAAAAATGGAGCCAGCTCGATGCCATCGAGCTAGACCGATGTGTTTGAGCTAGCGCTGTGTTGCTGAGGTACAGTAGCTCGTTCCACTTGAGCGAGCCTGCAAATCGCTTCCCAATGCGTTCAATTGCCAGGGTCAGTCCCAAATGATTCGTTCAATAGAGGTAGTACACCTCTTGCAGCCCAGAAATTTAGGAGCCACGTTTTGGGCCAAATCTGCTTAGACAGCGGCACAAAATTAAAGTCAAACACATGACCCCTTCTGAAATTGAGCCAGCTACATGTTTTTAGCTAACTCGAAAATGAGGAAGATTGTGGATTGCTACATTCAAATATATGTATCATAAACCCAATCGTGAAATTAGCCATCGACTGGGGCTATGATAATTAATTGAAGATAAGATTTATGACTTCATCGATGTTCACCAACTTAGCTATCATAAATCAGCAACAAAAACCCCATGGACATCCCCATGTTTTTTTTTTGCACCATGTTCCTATGGTTTTCCTACGGTTTTCCATCACAACGAACTTCACCACAGCAGCTGCACTAGTCGACGTCCAAGATTCATCATGGTCGCCTTGAGATGCAACGAGAACAGAGTTCCTCGATCAGCTGCCAGGTAGCAGCCCTACCATTCTAGGATCATACACTATTTATTTTGGTTCATACAAGGTGGTACCCACCTAGTTATAAGTTGGTTTATAGACCATAGTAAGTATAGATATATCTGCCATAAACCATAGTTATTAGACTAATAAACCAAATTAGCTATCTTGGGGGCACCACCTTGTACATACATAAATTATTTTATACATACTGTACACTATTTCTATATTCAAAGATCATTTTGACCCATATCCATATGGTGTACCATTCTAGGGGGGCTTATTCCATATGGCACATATGGCTATGGGTCAAAATAGATGGTATAGCTGGATGTAAATGGATGTTCATGCCACTAAAATTGTGACCATGATGGGTTTTGGCCTGTTATCCCATATCTATGTTTGTGTGTTTCTGACCAAAGGACCAAATAAATACGCCATGTTGACATTTGATGGGCCTAAAAAAAAAAACAGTCCCCAAACTTGGGTTGTCGATGTTGTTGTTGCTGTTGCTGCCGCTGCTGTTGTTTTTGTTTAGATGTTGGTTGGACTGTCTTGCAAGTACAGACTTGCTCAAGAAATGTATCTTGGCAATCTGCTAACATGTCTTGGTTATTTGCCAGATATGTGTGTGTGTGTCACACAATCATCCCTGTGTAATCAAGATCGATTCAACAAGTGATTACTGACCTGTCGCGGGGCAGAAGGGTGCTTCTCAAAATAGGAAAACCAACAAAAAATGTTTTGTCTTCAACATGTCTACTATGATTTGAGAACAGCTAATGCTGTCTCGTTTTTTTTCAGTTTTGAAGTGAACCTACTATGCACCTTTCTATACATACTACTTACACATATGGATATAATATACTATATATATATATTTGTACATACAGCATATAATTATATACATCGATATAAATAGCCTTTATGTTATATCAAAAATTGAATATACATATATATATATATAATTGTATTCAATATTTTCATATTCTATATATAATCTGATATTCACATATTCATATAACCAGCATTAACCAGCCATTCATTGCTGTCCTCTCCCGTCCTGGTTCTGTCGAGTTCATCTCCTAAAAAAGAGTGAGGACCATGGGGATGTTCCAATGACCATGGGATTTTTATTAACTATCATATCATATAATATATATATATATATATATGTGTAATATATCAGTGGGTTACATATATATATAATATAAGTTATAAAAGTCATATCACATTCACAATGTCACATGATAGGTTTCTTAACAATATGAAATAGTGATCATTGTTAATCATAATATTCTATTATTGTTAATCATCATATGATAGGTTTCTTAAGAATAATCATAATCACACTCACACTCATTTCCAATATTGATTAGGTTTCTGAACATAATAGATATCTATAATATGTCTATAATCAACATTAATAATATGATATCATGTCAAGCCAAAACAAATAAACCCTGGTATTGAAAAGCGGCTGAGATTACTCCCCAATAGTGATGTCATCTGATACTCAAATGCTACCTTGCCAATTATTCACAACCCAGCAGTTTTGATAAAAAGATCCCGGGTTTACATTCATTGCCCCCTGAAGACTGGATCAAAATGGACTCCGAAAATCCATGTGCAACAGCGGGTTCCCATGATGGCTTTCCATGTTGCCAGTGGTTCGTCCTCTGTTCATCATCGTGTTTCTGTATCTCTACTGTTGGATAAGTTGCCAACACATTCATTTACCGGTTCCTGATATGAGTCATTCATGGATATTTACAAAAAACATGTCCACAACTATTGGCCATCATCATTTTTGGTATGTTTTTGGTGAAAATATGTTCCAACATCTGTGGCTTCTGGCTGCACATTCAGTGGATTTCTCACTGTGGCATCTCAGTAAACTTAATGCCAAGTCCATGGGGAAAAAAAAACACAAAAAAACGAGCCCCTGATAGCCAATCTCGGATTCCACGCAAACCAAAGAAACCTTCTAGCAAACTGGTCAAACTAGAATAAATACATATGTATATATATATATGAAAAGCAAACTAGAATATATGCCAAATCTGATGAAAAGCAATGGATTTCACCCAAGCTGATTTTATCAACAAACTGATGCCCCTTATTTCGGGGGTGTTTTTTTTGACTTTCTGACTGGACCTTGTTGACCTTGTTGACCTTTAAGGGGGGTTATTAATCCGGTCTTTACATTAGTGTGTATATATTTATATATTTAGTGTATCATGATGTATCATGTCTATATAATATATCATGTATATATATATATATATACTGCATATACATTGACATGTAATGCCGCCATGTACCCAATAGGAACTACACTAGCCATTATTTGAGGATCAAAAAACTTCCCATCTCTCCTTCTCATAGAACTCTCTCAACTTTGCTACCTCAAGTCATAGCTGCGGGACGTAGGAATTGTGTTTTTTTCTTGGTAAAAATCATATGAAATACCATGAAATACTTGAGTTGGATTCACCGTATTTGTCTCCAACTGATTTTCTGTATTAAAGAATAATAGAGAATCGTGTAAGAATGTCAACCCTGGATTAATAACCCCTGGGTACCCTTGGGATGTTTAATTCGGGGGGTACCATTTAAGTATATAAGATTATATAAGATCATGACTATTTGGGGGGGTGGCTAATTAAGAAACCATGGTTAAAAAAGATCCGGACATTACCTTAGTTAGATTCATGGGTTTTATCTCCAGATACAGTAATGATGGATGAGTGCTCGCTTCATGTTGTAAAAACTTTCCAATGTCTAGGATGCACGTCCGTCCGAACTCGGTGAAACTTCGGGGCATGTTATGCCAGTGTACTTACTTACGTAGGATGAGCGAACAAGTCCCCAACGGTTTAATGGGTCATATGGTTGTTGTCTCCACCAGTATCATGATTCTACTCTTGCTGGACGTGTGTACCTGGGACAAACTGACCATGTACAAGTAGAAGCGAACGTTTGAACAACAATAAACAACATTACTCACACACAATCTCACATCTATGTCGTCTACTGGCATCCCTGCTTGGGGGTGCATCCAATTTAGTATGTAGAATATATTATATAACAAGGTTATATATCTAGGTTATATATCAAGGTTATGAATCATTTAGTACATACTAATGGGATGGTTACGATATTTAACCCATTGGGGGTTACAATCTTAGTAATTATATACAATTAATAACCGGGTTATATCAAGGTTGTTAACCACTTACTAACTGGGATGCACATCCAAGTAAGATTCAACGTGGTGGTGAAAGACATAGATTCTATGCCGCGCATTTTCCTCATCAAAATGTTGGTTGATATACCCTCTGGTCCTCTGGTAATTTAGCTGTTGAACATGGACATGGCCATTTCTAGTTGATTTACCCATTAAAAAATGGTGATTTGTTCATAGCTATATAGCTATGTTGGTTCACCAGAGGGTATTCAATATCATCTTCAAATCTTCCATTGTAGTAGACTGCAGTATGACAAGTGGAGGTACCTGGCCACCCTGGCCCGGAAATCATGGGATATCTTGCGAAATCTTGGGAGTCCATCCCGGTCAGTCAATTGGTAACAAATTGAAGGCACAGCATATGAGATACCCTCTGGTAAACTCACAGTTTGCGAACTTGAACAAGGCCCAGTCGACATAGTTGATTTACCCATTTATAAAAATGGTGATGTTCCACATATATACTTTGGTATGTTTACCAGGCCGGGTAAATCCCATTCAATCCCATAAAAAAAACACCATAAAATCCCATTAAATCCCAGGCCGGGTAATCCACTTCAATCTGGAAGATCCTCATACACCACCTACCTACGAGAAAAACTTGATCACTCGGTCCTGCAGATCTCGTACAACCTCCATTTCTGAATGCCACCTACGATGACTTGTGGTATATTTACTAAATTTGACTAGAAATATTAGTATGTATGGTCCACCATTTGTGACTTTGAGATCATTCTTCCATCTACTGTAAGTCCACCCATAATCTAAGTCCACTAAGTATATTTAGCTTGTGGGCCCACCATTAATGTCCGATGATCGTTTCCTTAGATACCCTTCAACGTCTGGTTTTCTCGGGTGCTGAAAAAAATCTGGATCAGTCACCATTGGATTCAACGCTAAAGTGCTGGATTTTTTGGATGATTTTTAGATCTTCAGAGGTTTCCATAGGGCTACCCCTAGTTATCATCCATTTTAGACTGGGATGTTCAATTATAAACCATCCATTCTGGGGACCCCCCATTTCTGGAAATCTCCATATCTTATCCCCGTGTTTGATCATTCTTGAAGGTTGGATCCACCATCTCTTGAAGTAAGCCACTCTCATCACGCTACCGTCAATGACTTCTCCTGAAGGTGGTTATGGGTCAAAACCCTAGTACCATAGGTATCCCAAAATAGCTGGTTGGTGGTTTCAACCCCTCTGAAAAATATGAAAGTCAGTTGGGATGATGAAATTCCCAATATATGGGAAAATAAAAGCCATGTTCCAAACCACCAACCAGATAGGTATATGGGTCAAAAAAGAGGTATTGAACCAAAACCAGCCAGGTATCTTTAATAACCGGGGTGGTAATTTTGTACCTAGTACCACATGGGTGTTGAAACCCTCGTACATAGAGAAAATTCAAAAGGTTAATGGGTGGTTATTCCACCAGTCATATTGGGAAATTTCATAGGTTTTGACCCATCCTTTGGTGGCAAATTGTGATTGTGATACCCTGGTGTACTCTTCTATTTCCATAAGTGAAAACCATGGGGAATGGTGATGAGAAAAAAGGCTACTAGGTTTCATAGCGGTTGACAATGGTTGACGATTCAAAAACATAGGGATATGAAACAAACCTATATACATTTAATAAGGGATATGATGGGATATAAAATCAATATGGCATATAGATCGATATATTCATGTGGATTCGACCAGCCCTTTTCGAATGACTATGATTATGGGGAAATTACCAGCAAAAATGGCGGGTAAAAGACAGACATCAACTAAGTCAACTAAATTAGGACATAACTGAATACATATATAATGGTATAATCCAAAGATGACCTCCCCCCCCCAACAAAAGGGCTTATTAAGGGCTTATTGAGGGCAACCACTATAGTAAAGGGGGTGGTTGAATCCCGGTGCTCTATCTGATCTTATTTCATCTTATCTTGATTTTTCTTGATCTCCCACTATCTTATCTGGTCTATCTAATCTATCAGATTGATCTGGTCAAATTATTGATCTACTTACTAATTACTTACCTACAATTCTTTCTATCATCAAATATCTACGAGCTCGCTACCCAGTACTATAGCTCTATATTCGAACTGGATTTCCAGATGCCCCATAATTGTAACGGTTTTGACCATGACATGAAAGTTGAACCCTTCTACATCTAAAGGCCTCATCAATGCCTATCAAACCCTCTATCTAAAGGCTCCATGTTATCAAATCAGCCCTCAGTGAGTATTCAAACATTCTTCGAACGGATCCCGAATGCTTTGTAGATCTGAATTCCAGTCATTGATTGGGTCTTGAGCACTGGGTCTTGAGTAATCTGAATCCTTTTTCTGTTCTTGGCGTGATGCCCTGGGGAAAGAACATGGTGATTGTATATTCTGTTGTGTTCTTAAACGACTCGTCGACGATCTTTGGACGCCTTTCCATGGTTACTCCACAGCTATTCCACGCTTCATTTACAGACATTAGTTTCATTTTTTCTGGCAACTGCCTCAAAATAATCATATCAAATGAATCATGAAACTCCTGTAGAGTAGCTAAGTCATGCTAAGTCAGTGAAATGACTGGAACTGAGATTTCCAACTTTCCATCTGTAAATCCGTTTTTTCTATTACCTTACACTGCCGAGAGGACCCCGGTGAGAACCTTGGGCGTCATGGCCCCTTGGGGCAAGCGGAGCCCACTTGATCGAGTTCGCCGTTGGTTTGGACCACGATTCACACATATTATACCCTCAACTAACAGTTTGCTATTGAAAATGGCCATTTATAGTTGATTTACCCATTAAAAATGGTGATTTTTCATAGTTTCTTTGTATGTTGACCAGAGGGTAATTGATGGTAATTGGTTCTTTGCATAGGCAGCAACACGGTGTCACGTGTCATGCCTACCCTCCAGCTGTAAACTCATGCCTTCATGGTTACATTCCCACAATTGCAGCTCCTACCAAGATGTGTTTGGTCAGTGTGGTCTTGCATTGAAATTTGGGGAGGTAGAACTGGTAGAACATGTTCGATCATGTCAAAGCACTATGTTGGATTTTGTTTGTTGGTTGAATCTCGACTGTATATTTTTAGCCATTGTTCCTTTTGGATGGTGCCAACCCCCTTAGTATTTATTTGCTGCTGAAATCCTATGTTTGGGCTGGCTTCCATCGCTGGTGTGGGCTAAGCCCACGTTCTTCTCGGCTCCATTGGTGTTGCTCAGCCGCCATTGTTGTCAAAGTTCTTGCTAGCTAAATCCCAATTGTTCTTGTCAAATTATCCATTAGTTTCTGAGGGCTGCCTGGGTCAATCCACTACTTCTATTGATGAAAAAGGGATGAATCAAAACCTATACTTGTCATAATTAATTATATGTCCATCAATTTTTGGGGGTCTGAACATTGAACATCCACAAAATCCTAGCTACTAGTATGTTGGTGTGAACAGAAGGGTACCTGTGGCAGGGCCCTGCCCAAATCATGTTGAGCGTTCAGGTACGCGATGGCCTCCAGGAACTTCGCCCCGTCCGGCTTTCCCAGCTCTGCCCGTGGCCCGGGGCAGCTGCTTCGCGGAAGTGGTGCTCCAGGACGCCCAAGCCACGCCTTGTCGAGCGCAGTACTCCGAGCACCCCTCGTCGAGCAGCTCGGCCAGGTTCGGTTCCATCAAACGTCCCCGTTCCTGAAATGGTGCCAAATATCCATTTTTTCAGGTTCTTTCGTTGCTTCAATCATCTCAAATCACCATTTAAATTATCCATGGGTATGATCCGTTGACAATGAAACGTAATGAAATCATGGGACGAATTCCCTTGTAGTTAGCTATCATGTGCTTAGGAAACTCATGGAAACTCTTATCTCTTAGGAGCTCCTTGGCTCCCCGTTTCATGGAGAATCTGGGTGACATTGTGTCACCGATGATTGTTCGACACATGGGATGAACCCTATGCTTGTTTTCCTGAAAAACGAGCCATCATATATGATCTTCCCATAAGGTGAGGCAAAGAAAAAGTTATGTGAGTTATGTGTCTCAAGGTTGATTTTCACGCTATTGCCGACTTCAAATCTCATAACCATCAACCCTGAACATTTCCACACATTTCCAGCAATTAAATCCTATCCGACCTAACCGACCTATCCGACCTACGGTTTTCCATGGTTTTCCCATGTTTCTCCGTCCTGAGAGCAAGGGCGTCTTGGCCTTCAGCACCGTGGTCTTTCCCGTGCTGACCAGCTCGATCCGAACACTGGACACCTCCTGAGGTCTGTCAAAATCTCCATGTGAAGATCATCATGGTCATCATGTGAATGGTTGCGTCATGTGAAGCCATGGCTTGCAATCTTCAGCTGCTTGGTGGTTTTTCGCCTACTCTGAAAAATGATGGACTTAACGTCAGTTGGGATGATTTTCCATTCCCAACTGAATGGAAAGCCATAAAATTCCATAGTTCCAAACCACCAACCAGTCAGTGATGTTGTTGTGTTTTCTCAAGAAAAATGGAGGCTGATGTTTGCGCAAAAATGGGGTTTCAACCAACGATTTTTTTTTCGATCTGAGCAACGAAAATCATGGGATTTATGTGTGGTTTTTTCGGGTGAGTTGGATGATCCGAGCAGTGATTTTTTCAAGGAAAATTTGGTGATTTTTGAAGAAATACAATGTGGGGCCCCCGTAAACGATAGCTAAGTTGGTGCGTTTATAACTCCAATAACTATGGTTTATTGTACTTATAACTATAGTATTCATGGGGCTTATAAACCAACTTATTACTGGGGGGGCCCACATTGTATGTTGTTTTGCCAACTAAAAGGGGAATGAAACGACAACGACAAGCCGGGCATTTGTTTCATAGTGTGAAGGAAGCAAACAACAAACTGGTGAGACAAGCAGAATCACAAATATGACAACAACATAGCAACCAGTGGCTAGTAATTAGCTAATTTGTTGCCACTTCATGGCCAGTCTTAGCTACCAGTATCCTGCAAAACATTGTCATGTCCCGCTTCGAATCTTCATGTTTTAAGATCCAGATTCAACAATTCTTGGACCCCAGTTTCACCACCAACCAACCATATCAACCGTACGCAGCGGTTGTATCTTTACTTTTGCAAAGGAATGCCCCGATGTTTGTGCCGAATGCGAACCTCATTCACCATCTACCGGAACTGTTTATGAAGTGATCATCCATTACTCATGTCTATGGCTAAACGATCCTGAAGAAAACGTGACCATGATTCCCTTTCCTGGGCAAATTCATGTCATTTCCAGATACCCTCTGGAATATTCAAAGTTCGCTGTGGAAAATCACTAGTGTTTGCAAAAACGGAAAATCATCGAACTAAACTTAGGTGATTTTCCTTTTAGCAGTTCAATTGTGGCTGAATTACAACCTTCACTAATCTGAAAATAGCTGTCGCTGTTCACTTGCTCCCTGCGTGCACCCTCCCTGCCCAGATAGCTGAAATGTTTGGCTATTTGGGATTTCTACCTTGACTCTTGACATGTCCAATCATTCCAGTGACGTCACGACGTGAAATCATGATCAAACTCATTCAGAATTATCCATTGCAGTTGTATCGTGTATCCAACTACCAACCATAATCTACGTTGTCCATTGCACATCATATTCATCACAACTATCTATCGTCCATTGTACATTATGAACATCTGACACATTCGACCAATATGAACAGAATCGATCAATTAACCATTTCCATGATTTATCATTATTAATCGCATGGTCACCAATCACCAATGTGTATTAACATTATATAACATCATTATATAACCAACTATCAACCATCATCTACTGTAATTATATCCAACTATTTACCACTATTAACCACTCCTCACCATTAATCTCTCCCCAAGGGGTGCAGTGTACCATCAACGGCTTCATCGAATTCAGCGCGCCTCCAAACCCTATGGTCATAGTCATATCTCATATTACCACTAATGAACATCATCGACATTAACCGTTATTATCTATAATATGTACATTAACGAAAAAACATTAATATTAACCACTATCATTACAATTATATATCTATTAACATTTACCACTATTGAATGTTAATATTTACATTCACCACTATTGACTATTAACCCATTAACATCAAAATCAACCACAACTTAACCATGTTGCCATTAATACTAATATCACTATACCACATTAACATTAGCCACTGAGATTACTATTATCTATTAACCATTCACCATCATGAAAAATATCATTACCACGTCTTGTCATCCCATGGAGCGCCTCCATGATGCAACTCTGTTCCGAGGCGAAGAAGTCGCCTTCCTCCATGGACGCCACACAGCTCTTGGACTCCTCGTAGCTCGGGGACGAAGTCAACGGGGGGAGAGTTGGGGTACCAGATGACCAGCAGAAATGGTACAATGTGGGGCCCCCGTTGACGAAATCGCTAAGTTGGTGCGTTGATAACTCCAATAACTATGGTTTATTGATGTTTATTGTACTTAAATAACTATAGTATTCATGGGGCTTTTGTTAACCAACATTCACATCACTGGGGGGGCCCACATTGTATGGTTAAGCCGAAATTGTATCGACAGTTCATGGGAGTTTTAACCATGATAAATGGGATTTTATTGATGTTCATCGGAAATTCGTTGGATTTTGACCATCAGAAATTCGATTTTGATGGGATTTTGTCCACATCAGAAATTGGATTCAAGTGGGATTTTCGCCAACCAACATGGGAATGGATATGGATGGACACAGGTGACCAACCATTTTATGGTGAATGTCAGTGAATATCATTGGATAATCCATGGGAAATAACTAACAATACATGACAGTTGTGTGCGTCTGAAAATTGGAGACCAATTTTAGGCAGTTTTCAGTGCCATGGAGCCATGGAGGTGTCAAACATGGCGGAAATCCCCTCCTTTGATAGCCATGGATCAAAACTCTGGTAGCCTTCACACCAAACTGTTGCTAGGATTTATGGATGTCCATCCCTATCAGGTTTTGATCCATCTTCATATATCCGGCCTGGTAAACATACAAAAAACTATTGAAAATTGCCATTTATAGTTGATTTACCCATTAAACGTGATTTTCCATAGTTATGTAGACGTTTACCAGAGGGTAAACTCGTCAATTCTCAATGGCCATGGCCATGTCATCGTAGACTCTTCAGTTGCGTCAAGACTCCGCAGTCCACTCATGGTTTCTGTGCGGGTGCTTCATGGCATACTCCTAGCGAGCTAGGAGGCGTAATTCGGCGCATGCAGGATGGGTTCCATTCTAGTGGGAGATAGATCGTAGGTCAACATATTTCAAAAGATCATGACGGCAATTTGATCCATTTCATGTCATTTCATGTCATTTCATGTCGCATTTGCCATCAATTTTAGTTTGGCTCATCGAGCCATGTCATCCCGGAAACGGTAGACATTTTCTTGGGGGTGGGACAGGCCGACCCAGGGTCCTGTAGATGTTCCCTTAAATCCATTGAGAGATGCTACCCTCTGGTTATGTCAAAATAGCTATTGAAAATGACCATTGAAATAGTGGATTTTCCCATAAACAATGGTGATTTTCCATAGTTATGTTAATTTACCAGAGGGTAGCGGAAAAAACCAAGGTATGATACCCAGTGACCTTTGTCGCCAGATGTGGGAGAGATGCAAACATGACGTGTCTGGGTAGATTTAGATTCACCAAGACAACAAAAGCACCAAGCTGACACGCGCGGTGGTTTTGTTGGGATGATAGTTCTCCATCAACAAACATCATGTCTATGTGGGTGTGTCTGAAAAATGGGGGATCCACCAAAATGGTGTTTGTAACGGGAAAATCTATGATCTTCCCTGGAGAAGTTTTAAAAAACAATTTGCTGGCCAAGGGACCTGAAGTGATATCATCCCACATGTGGATAGACAATAGCATATAACATATAACATATAACACATAATATAACTGATAATATACACTACTTATAAGGTTGTGCCCCATGGTTAGCTATAAGATAGTTTATACCTAGGTTTACTTTGGTTTGTGGTAGCTATATCTGTAAATAGTTGGATGGAGTTGTAAACTAACTTCTAGCTAGGGGGACCACCTTGGAACATGTGTTTTCTTTACTTTATTGCCTAATGTGGTGTGTTGATCCTGCGCCAAAAGGTTGACTTTTGCTGGGACACATGGTAGACCCCTCCAAACTTCAAACCCTATTTAAAAAAAAAAACGCAAACGCACATGCTTATAACTTATAACCCATATGTGTTGCTATATATATATATACCAGAGAAAAATACTATATATAATCAATCAATATTGATTCTATATTAAGGATTTATATAGATAATGCATATCATAATCGTTCAATATTAGCACATATCAACGTGTTTTAACATGTACATACATTACATTACATTACATTACATTGCATTACATTACATTACATTACATTACATTACATATATATATATATACATAATGGTCACATTAGTTATTAGTAATTAGATAATATTTTATAGACAACATTCATATTAAATAGATGGCTATATTAACTAGTTGACATCAATTCATAGTTTTACTACTCATATATACTATTAGTTCATATGAAAAATCAATGGAATCTTTGAAACCATCAACAACTTCACTTGGGTATAGGTCAAGTCATGGGCTACCCCTACAGCTTTATATAGATTGTTTTTTTTTAGATGTTTAATACTGGACATATTCTGTAAGGTTGTTAAGAAACCACAGATATTAACATATTAGTACTAAACACTTAGTATGATTGTTCTACCCAATATGATTGTTCATATTTCTTAATACCCAACCATACTCATCTATATGTGGGATGATTGTTCTACCCATACTCATGAACATAGTAACATATTTCTTAGTATTAACTCATACTACATATACAAAAATCTGTGGCTGGTTGGTGGTATACCTACCCCTCTTAAAAATATGAAAGTCCATGGGAAGGATTATCCCAATGGAAACTAAAAGCCATGTTCCAAACCACCAACCAGATGATTATAGATTATTCCCTATAGATTCTCTATGAACTCATACAAAAATCATCAAAAATCTCTGGTCTCTGTTGTCCATCGTCCCTAAGTCCCATAGGCCTAAAACATGGGACGTGGACCCATCGACCTACAGGATGGGTTTTGCCCAGTGATGTGAACGTTGGTTTATATACCATGAAATAAGTCCCATGAACTAGTTCGTTATATCTACCATAAACCATTGTTAAGCTGTTAAGCCACTTATAAACCAACTGATTGCTATCTTGGGGGCCCCATCCTGTAGGGGTTAGCCAGTTAGGGTTTTCCATTGTTAAACCACTTATGTTCGGCAACTGAACGCGAGCTCGACTGGGGGCCCCATCGACCTATCGACCATTCCCAGGGCTCGCCTTGACTGGCCGTGCCACGCGACGATCGGAGTTGCCTTCGCGGAGCACCGGATTGACGGCGCTGCCCAGGACCTGGCGACGTGGAGATTTCCCACGTGGAGATTAAGGCGGCCCAGCAGCTGGTTGGGCAAAGCTGTAAATTCTATAGGCTTTATGGATGTTTAACTAAGGTAGATTTAGAAAAACACCAGGATACTTAAGATGAAGGCTATATTTCGGGAGTTTTCTGACATATAAAAAAGAATTTTCATGGATTTTGGGCAAGAAAACATGTCATTTCATGGGATTTAATAACAATACGCACAAGTTGGGGGGCCCCATGGATAGCTAAGTTGGTGCAAATAACTAGGTCGACTTAGCTTCACCTTAGCTTGATGGTAGATATAACGAACTGATGGGGGTTAAAAACTAACTTATAGCTGGGGACACCACCTCGTGAGGGAGCTGGGATGAATGTCAACTCGATATCTGCGGGATATCTGCGGATATGGAAGTATGGGATGACTACAAGGAATTGTCTAGAATTTGATTTGTAGAAAAATTATTGTACCTGGTTGGTGGTTTTAACCATCTTGAAACATATGAAAGTGAATGGGAAGGATTATCCCATATATTATGGAAAATAAAAATGTTTGAAACCACCAATCAGGTACAGAATGAACCACCTAGGACTCTTCTAAGCACGCTCCATGGGATTCTTGATTAGGAAGAGTGAAACTCACATGTGGATAACAAGACGCTTATGCTACCTTTCATTTCTGATGAGGGGATATGAGGGGAACTCTACTGATTTTAATGATTCGATATCCTATCCAAAAATAATGATGTAAAAAATACATGCCGTTCTGTTCACAGGAAAATAACTTGGATTTTATGAACGTTAATAACCTAAAAAGTGGCTTTGTAGGTATTGACCCGTCCCTGTATTAATATATATATATATATATTATAATGGAAACAACAAATCGCGGAGAGCCACTCAACACAAAGGGGGGGCCTTCACCAGCCAACAACGGCATGATCAACAAATTCATTGTTCGATCCCTCACAAGCCACATAAGTCAGAGGAGCAATGTTGAAATTTATCATCGACAACAACTTACTGGTGCTTAGTAGGGAATGGATGGGAATGGGGGTTGCTGGGATGATTATTACTAGTGATTATGGATCATTCCCGGAAAAAAAAAACTAGTGACCAGTAAGTCATCAACAACAAATCCAAATTTCTTCAGTTTTCCAGGTCCAGCCCGAAATGTTGGATTTCCACCCGTATCGCCCTGCTTGACCTGAGCATCGATGTCGCCCCGTGTTTGGACTGTGGGGCCCCGTATCGAACTCGATCGCGAGGGCGATGAATCGTTGGTGACTTCCAATTTCACGATGCAGTTGAGGTAAATCATAATAGTTGTTCACTTTAATTTAGTTATATATTTGACTTAATTCTATAATTTCTAGTCAAGGTTGAATAGCCATTAAGCTGAATGCAATAATTATTCTAGCTACACTATGCTACACTGAATATTCGGTGAATCTAAACCATTGCTAAACCATTGAAAAATCTACACGGATAGCCTTTCCGAACCATGACAAAACATGGTCATCGCTGGATAAGGTAGGAAGCAACGAAACCCATCCAAGGTTCTGTGACAGATTCCATTTCTACCTAAATATGTTCAATTTCAGATATCTAAGAAAAATCCCACATAAGTTTCATGGATTGATATATGGTAATAATCTGGTAAGAAAAACCCCACATTTCCATGCATTTCCATGACGACCCGGGAGGCGAAAAAAAGCGCCTTGGCATAGCGACCTCGGATCTCCGTCTCCTGGCGGAAGTGGAAGCAGTGGAAGCGGGAAACCCAGACCGAAGGTCATGGGAAAATCATCCTAGAAATGGCAGTGTGTCAAAACCTTGTACCCCTGGTCAACATCAAAATAGCTGGTAAATGGATGTTCATCCCCTAAAAATGGTATTAATAGGTATTGATCCATACCCAAATGGGGATCATCATGGGAATTCTTGGTGCTGATGATGGGTCCCAGATGCGAACCATGGTGCTGGAATATGCACACCTACATGGAAACCCCAAACATTCATTGCCCAAATGATCCCAAATGTATGTAAATACTCCAGCACCATGGTTCGCATCTGGGATATAATGGGACTGGTGAGAAAATCATCTAGAATCTAGAAAATCACCCCACGGATTGTAAGTAGGTTAGCTCACCCTCATTATTTTCAGTGTAAATCGGCTTCACCACTAGGGTGAACTAACCTACTATCCGCGGCTAGTTTGCCAGTAATCACGGGAAATTTTCATGGGGATGGTGATTTTTTGATGGGAAAATTGTCTGGGACAATCAGAAATGAACCATGGATAATCATCATAGAAATGTATGGGAAATAAAAATCATGGGAGAACCATGGGGATCATCATTTGGACTCCGGGATCAGGCTTCATGGTTTGCTTGGTACAAAACAGTTTGCCACAAGTTACCAACCAAAAGGATAGTTGAACGGACCTAAGTATATGTATATATATATATATTAAATAATAAATATATATATATTATATATAATAATAATAATATATATATATATAATAAATATATATATATAAATAAATATATATATATAATAAATATATATATATATATCTGGTGTTGATTTCCCTTCTAGAGGTGCAACTGGTTTGAAAACCATTGAAAACCTGGTTTCAACCCAGCCTAAAACAAACATCAACGTTATCATCTCAGGTTAGGAGAAAGCACTGAAACCACCTGCACAAACACCGTCCCGTTGAGACTGTTCATTTGGTACACTGACACGGACCCTCAGAGTAACCAAGAAGGATTAATTCACCTCCCAAACTGTTGGCAAATCCACCATGTATCTTGCTGATTTATCTGAACCTATGATTTTCCAGCAAACAATGTGTGTCTATCTTCAGTTTCATGGGTCAAAGAATTAAAGCCCAGCATTTCGTTGGGTAAATCTCCATCCATGCCAGTTGTATTTAATTTTTTTATCAGCTTCAAGCCACGTTTCAATGCCAATCATACATCATTAACCTGCATTGTCGCGTTTCTATAGTTGCTTCATATGTATGTATATATATAAATAATATTATATCATATATATAATATTATATATCATATATATATATATATCAATAATTATATGATATATTATGTATATATATATATATATTATTATATATATAATCCTCATTTGTCGCGAACCATGCCGTAGTTTTCTGTAGCGGGGGCCTTTCTTCCGCGCCTGCTCGCTTTGAGGATCCGCGGGAAAGTCCGGGACGCTGAAGCCTTTCGCCTGGAGCTCCTCCGGCGATGAGATGTTGATGGGATTTAAAGCGCGAAAAAAATACAAGGTGGTGCCCCATAGTTAGCTAAGTTGGTTTATAACTCCCATAACTATGGTTTATGGCAGATATAACTATAGTATTCATGGGGTTTATAAACCAACTTATAACTGGGGGGCACCATCCTGTAGGTTTTAGTGGGTTTTAAATGGTGTCTGGTTGGTGGTTTTTCGCCTACCTCTCTGAAAAATGATGGAGTGAAAGTCAGTTGGGATTATTCTTCCCAACTGAATGGAAAATCATAAAAACAATGGTCCAAATCACCAATCAGGTGTTTTAATGAGTATTAACGCCTGGATTCTGATGGGATTAAAAAAACATGTAGGCTTTAATGGCGTTTAAAGTTGTTTTTTGAATAGCTTTGAATATGGTTGTTTAATGGGTTTGAATGGATTTGACGGGATTCGCATCCCCCAACTCAAAAGGCAAAATAGGATCTCCAAGAGCTAACAGTGCCATGTTGGTGATGTTCAAATTCCCCAATTTGGGGAACATTTACCAGCCTTTGTTTGGTACAAGAGGGGGCCCCATAGTTAGCAAAGTTGGTGCAAATATCAACTCAGTCAACTCCTTCATGGGAGACACCACCTCGAGATAGCTACCATGAGGACATTTGGAATGATGCTATAGATGCGTTGTATCGTTGAGTAGGAATGAATAGGATATATTAATATATATACATAACGAACCATATTTTCTGACAATGAAGGATTTAAGATTTACATAGATTTACGCCCTAAATGGCAATCACATTGGAAACATGATCAAACAGTGGATGGAATGGGTTTTGCCCTAAAAGTTCAGGTGCTTCACCCTCTTGGCAAGTTAGAGTGAGACTACAGGAAGATACTAGAAGTTTGAAGAAATACTTCAGTCAAGGATAGCCAAGAAGTGCTTTAGGAGAAACATGAAGGACATGTCGTACATACTTCTTATTTCCAAAGAACAATAAATATGTCTTTGAAGCGGAAATAACAAGAGGGAGATTAAACAATTTCCCTTTAAATACCCATAGGATCCATGGTGCTGCTATATATATATATATGCTAACATTTGGGGTACGAGTATATTGATGGGATCCATGGCCATGGCACACCATATATGGCAGCACCATGCATCCAATAGCATGTCGACAGGACGCTGGTGCTGCAGGATGGGGCCCCCAGTCGATAGCGTTCAGTTGGTTTATAAGTGGCTGAATTCTATGGTTTATGGTAGATATAACTATAGTTAATGGGGATTATAATGGTTTAATATGGTTTATAAACCAACTTATAACTGGGGGGCCCCATCCTGTACCTTACCCGAAAATATTCCCTACTTTCACTGCGTAGTCAAGATAAAATAAGAACCCAATATCCAATGTCGATTCATGGCGTTTTCTGACCCAGCCTGCCGACAACGCCACCAGAACCATGAACGACTGCTGGGACACCTTCTGACCGCCTTATACCCCCGTGGTACGCATCCAGCAATTTGAATTGACGCTATACTTCTCTTCATCGCAGCAATGATGTCTTCAGCGGCCAGGAATAAAGGGTCTAATTATGACATGTCACTGATGAGCACATGGTTAGTGTGACAAAATTAGAGTGGAGGCATGCCTCGTGTAGGCACTGCCATGACACAGGAATGCTTCGATAGTGAAATCCGTTTTGGGTAAGGCACCATGGTTTTCAGATGTGATTGGAACCCGCAATCAATGGTGGATTTGGATGGGATTGGATCCCTAGGGCCTGTGAAAAAAAACTACCAGATCTTGCAAAACTCAAGAAATGTGACAGTGAAACCAAAAAACATTTGGCAAGACAACACAACTTTGGCAACTTCGCCCAAGACGTAGGGCCGTATGTTGAGGGCGGACAAGGGCCAAAATCCAACTAGCACAGAACCACTACCACAGATGTTGCTGAGTTTTATTCAACCATCCATGGCCAATCTTAGATACCCTGCAAAATAAAAACAAAAAACGAAATTCTTAGCTGGTGAATGTAGATACTCCCATTGATACCAAAAGACATAGCAGGATTAGTTTCAACCCATCCAGTTGATTGACCTAGCATCCGATTTGGTGCCAGGTCCCACATGCTTTAGTGTTGATCCCTTTACCCAGTTGATATCCCAAGCACAAGAATCTAGCAACAGTCTCACCTGAGATATGTAGTCGCAATATATTTGTTGGTCAAGTCCCGATTTTTTTCATTGAAGTCCCAACTTTGTTGGTGAAATCATGTCTAAAACCACTGAAATCACCAGACACATATTCTTTGTATTCCGAATCGTTGTTGGTTAAATATCGCACTTTTTTCCCTATCAATTTCCCAAGGTCTCATCATGCTTGGTGGCACTCCCGCGAACTGGGCGTTTTTTTAGAGGTTTAAACCACGAGTGGCATCCGGGTCCTTGATTGCACTCAGGAGTTGAGGCACGGAGGCCGAAATGTTGGGCAACCTGGGATCGGCTGCGAACTGGAAGCCACTGGAAGCCACTGGAAGCCACTGGAAGCCACTGGAAGCCACTGGAAGCCACTGGAAGCTATGGCAGTCTGGTTTGATGACTTACCTAAAAGATTTAAAACGGCTGATTTTGACCATAGCGAACTCTTAAATATTGTCAAATTTCCAGGGTAAACCTGCCTAGAATTTGAATCCATTTGGGGATAAATAAACCAATTCCCAGCCATTTCTTTGAAGTCGTTGGGGATGGCGACTATAGTAATGTGGGCTATGACCTCATGCCATACACCATTCCACTAACCAACCATGACTGGGAGTGATAATGAAAATCATCCCATTGCGCGCAGGGTAATTCCCAATTTCATTAAGCTCTATTGGGGATGCTTTCTGGGTTTACCACATGAAAATCTCGAATTTCCCAATGCCACAAAAATACTTCATAATACTTCATAGTTCAGGAGAGTCTAAGTTACACCTCTGAATTCAGTTCAATATGTTCGCTAAGCACTCCAATACATTTGATACCAACGAAAAAATAAGACCCCATGATGCCATGGTACGTCAAACAACTCGCACTGCTGCCCGGGTTTGTATTGAAACGTCCGCAAATTCGAACACCGGAGAAGTGTCGCAAAGTGATAAACTGCAACAAAGAGGTATCTGCAATTGCAATTATTGCTTGTTGCCCTGATACAAACTATTTTGTTCTTGTTGCTGAAATATTCTATCCTTTCCTTGGACAATTCATATGTGCCGTTGGTCAAAACAGGGTATACAATGGGACATGGTGCCATTGGTCATCCATCTCATTATGGGAAGGGCGAATATTTTTTTTAGTTTTTTTTTTTTTGTTTGTTTTTTTTTGTTTTTTGGTTTCCTATTAGTTTTCTTTCATTTTCCAGTAGTTTTCCTTCATTTTCCATTAGTTTGCCTTCATGTTCTATTAGTTTTCCTTCATTTTCTACTAGTTTGCATTCATTTTCTATTAGTTTCCCTTCATTTTCCATTACAGTACTTTTCCTTCATTTTCCAATAGTTTTCTTTCATTTTCCCTTAGTTTTCCTTCATTTGCCATTAGTTCCCCTTCATTTTCCATTACTTTTCCTTCATTTTCCATTAGTTTTTCTTCATTACCACAAATGGCCAGAAAAAATGCCAGTTTTGTGGGGTTACAATGGGTTACATTGAATTACCATGCCTTATCATTAATAGACACAGCCAAATAGTTGGGGATGTACATTGGAGATATTGGGGAATATGGTGGCACACACACCCTACCCAGTTAGTTGAGTGGAACCTCAAGCCACGCTCCATCCAGAATCTGGGCCATGGCATGATCTCGCATGCGCACAACGAAGCTGCATCATATCCATTTTTCCTCTTTGCTTTCTCGGTGCATCTGCGCATATACATGTGACATCTTGAAGACGTCACAATGCGTCCCAAACTGATGCCTTGACATCGAACCCCGTAAATTCCCTAAAAACCGATTTCTTTAGGGTGTCGTAAAGCCAGGTGAAACCAAAAGCCAACAAACCAGAAAACCAAAAAGGCCAGAAGCCAAGAGCCAACTGAAGCCAAAAGTGAAGCCAAAGCCAAAAGCCAAGAGCCAAGTGAAGCCAAAGCCGATTCCAGGCCAGTCCTACAAATGTTTGTTTACAAGCCAAACGCCAAAAGCCAAAAGCCAGGTGAAGCCAAAGCCAAGAGCCAAGTGAAGCCGAAACCAAAAGCCCGATTATGTTTTTTCTTGACTTATCGAGGAGATAAGGGGCCACAGAAGGCCAAAAGCCAGAAGCCAAGTGAAGCCAAAGCCCAAAGCCAACAGCCAAAGTGAAGCCAAAGCCAAAAGCCATGGCCCAAAAAAACTAAACGCCAAAAAGCCAAAAGCCAATAACCAAAAGCCAAGAGCCAAAGTGAAGCCAAAAGCCAAAAGCACAAAGCGAAAAGCCAAAAGCTAAAAAGCCCGAGCAAAGCCAAAAGCCAAAAGCCAAAAAGCCAAGTGGGCAGGGAAAGCTGCTCCAGACTGAAAAAAAAAAACAAAAAATCCTAAAGAAATATACCCTCCTTATGGGAATCCTCATAATGGAGATACATATATGGTACAGGCCTGCAACCCCCCCCCCCCGCGATGGGGATGGTTCTTAGGATTGGGCGTACTAACCTCCCTGGAATTCAACTATCATGCAAGGTACCACTGCTTCCCCGCCCTCCCCTGTGGGGTGGGTTGGGTGTAGTATGTATGTACCTACGTAGGTTGGTAGGTATAGGCATGTATGTATGTATGTATGTATGTATGTATGTATGTATGTGTGTATGTATGTGTGTATGTATGTGTATGTATGTGTATGTATGTGTATGT